ATATATATATAAAAATTGAGTTAAGGAACGCTGAGGCTTTTGAATTTCAATGTTTCAGAAGCTTCTTAGGATTCCGTCAATGAAAAGCCCCCACCCCCTTTTTTTCCCCACCCTTAAAATTATATATATATGTGTGTGTGTGTGTGCTATATCATCATCAGGTGCCTTGCTAACGATAAGTTGTCTTCGGGCTCCCGCCTCTTTCAAAACCTCTTGGTTGCTCTTTTTGGCTGTCCAAGGTATTCTAAGCATTCTTTTGTAAAACCACATCTCTGAGGCCTCTAAAAATTGTTTGGCCTGCCTCCGATTGTCCAAGGTTCACATCCATCCATTTGTTAAAACTGGATGTATGTATCAAGCAAGAATTCTTTTTCTCTCAATGACAAGGATATATTGCACAAGATGTTTTTCATTTTATAAAATGCAGTTTTTGCCTGTCCAATTCTGTTTCTTATTTCAGTTATGCATCTTGAACTTCCATCTGATGTTATCCATGTGCACAGATACTTAAATTTCTGTACTTGTCCTAAAATAACACCATTTATATATATATATATATATATATATATATATATATATATATTATATATATACATTTTGATTTTGAATTTTTAAAAATAAAATTTTAAGTATTCAGGATTCAGGCGAACACCGGAAACCGAAAGCATTGCGTAAACAATCACTACGCCAGCACTGGCAAACGATAATTCAAATTGAATTACACGTTTTTTACCGAACTCCGGTTACGAAAAGAAACAGAAAAGAAAAGTATTTGTTATTCCTCAAACAATCACTTCGCTAACGATAAAATAACATAAAATGTCTTTACCTTAAAAAAACTTGCTGCGAATATCCTATTCACGACTAGCTGTTTTCACGTGCAGCCAACGTGTTTTAAAGACAAATTTTCATCCACGTGACAGCAGTCTGAACCAATGAAAACTGGTGTGAAAGGTTACGACTTTAAAAATAGCACAGATATTTTTCCGATAATCGCTGGAGATTCAATCCTGCCCGCCATCTGCTATTTCATATTGAACATTTGTTATTGCTAAACACCATTGATTACAGGCTTTCTTTTTTTTTTCACACATTTAAAAAAAAAGTATTATTTTTAAACTGTATTATCTCCACATTTGTTTTCAAAATTATGGATTCTTATGATTATTTCAGCTATTGTGTCCTTTAAACCACTAAATACAATCACACTGAACCCTTCAAACGGAAGAACTCATATATTGGCTCTTGCGTGTTGACAAACTAAATTTCTATATTGTTGTTGTCTTCGGTGTTGGTTAAATAAATTATTATTACATAATTCATTTGCAATATTTTTGGTCTTAGGTGTGGGGTCCGGGCCTCATTTCGGGGGTGGGAAAGAATAGTCCCACTGCTCTTTAACAATTATGTTGTAAAGGGCGACTAATTAACGATTTGCTGAAATCTGATTTGTTTGCCAGAATGTTGAATTAGGAATCCACATCATAGCACTCGGTACACCCCTCTAAACGCTCCGTGCAGCAAACGAAAAGTTCCAATTCCGATGGTACCAGTAACTGTCTGATTGTAAATCCGTCTCGCCTTTCCCTTGAGTGTTAAGCAGCTGCCAGTTTCTCTGGTAACACTTCGCAGCCCCATTCCCCTCAGACCGTAATGATATATTTGCGCCCCCGTACTATTCCCTCGCTTCCAGAGGGCACTCACAACGTTTAGCTTGTCATACATAAATTCACCACCAAGTGGTGCAGAACCAGCCATTCTATCTGCCTGTTCATTTCCCAACACATCGGCATAACCTGGAGAGAATATCCAAAGGATACTTACTAACCACCCGGGACCTCTGAAGTGATAATTGTCACTCTGCACGGAGCATACCTGTCTCCATCTTTCTCAGCATGCTCTGTGAGTCAGTGACAATCACGGCATGTGTGTACAGCTGATTCTCAAGCCAGCGGAAGGCAGCAGTGACTGCTTCCACCTCCATTCTCAAACTAGACATTGTGATAACATATGCCAGGTTTTGATGCACTAAGCCACGTCCATTCGCCTTTGATATAAACCCACATGCACTTCGTCTGCCCTCAGGTGGGAATTGTCATGAATCATTTGTTCAATTTCTGATTCTGTAGCGCCAGCTGACCAGCCCTTGCACTCACAACCTAAAGTGATAAGAACATGCACAAGTCTGACACTTTGACCCACTCCTCACCTAGCACAAATTTATCAAGCCTGCACACATGTCTGATTGTGTCTTCAGCTCGCACCATCTAAGACCTTACTCTTTTCAGTCTGTGACCCTTATATCTACCAAGGACTTTATGCAAGAAGTGCTCCTTGTCTGGCTACTCTGAGATATGACTTTACTTGCAGAACTTTGAGCTTTGATAAATCACCAGCATGGCTTCATTATGTCTGCGTTCAAGTTTCATCAGCTGACTGTTTGATATGGTAAGCATTCAAAGTCCATAATCTATCACCGACAGGATCACATACTGGAACATTGTGAACAGCATTCTTTGTTCCATCCTTTGCTGCCATAATCTTGAGAGCATTGAGTATTTTTTTTTGGGGGGGGGGGCGCATATCACCACAACGGCCTCCACGTGATCCCTATAGGACAGGCATCTATTGCCACCTGAAGATTGTATCAAGCACAGAGCACACTCTCCGTAGCTCCAGCGATTTTTTTATTATTATCTGCAATGCCATAAAGGTGCTGATATCACAGCCTTGTTGTAAATCACAACACATCGAACAACTGTCCTTTTAAGGGCAAACTTAGAAGAAGACAATTTTTTTCCACACTTATTTATATTCTATGCATTAGGATGTTAGTTACTCTATTAGTTAATCAACCGATTATTTTTTTCCATGAGCGCTCGGATGCAACCTTTAGTATCTCCCTCAGCGGGTGGTGACTGACGTTTCAATTACTCTTTGGTTATCTGTTTAAAGAGGTTGGACCACGGCCATCTTTAGATATAAAGATACAGATGGGCGTGGTTAGACTAAGTCCCCACCATTCAAGTTGGGAAATGCACTGATAATCGGCAAAGAGCAGCTCTGGTACTGGAACTCTGGGCTAGCTGCTGAAGATGGGGATGAAGTACTTATGAGAATGCCCGAGTGCTGTGATGTTGGTTTTTGAATCAATTTAACACCTATTTTAATTTTGTTACGTTATTAAATATTGTAACCTTTATGCTTTATTTAAAATATTTATAACATCTCGTACAGTCTTGATTTAGCAAGACATTGCATCGTGAAACTGGCCCTGGTTTGTTTACTGCAGCTGACTGGATATTGTGTAGAAGTTGCCAGAAAACAATTGACGACTACTTCTCCGTCTACTTCATAGACCACAACAACAGCTGAGTTTTAAAATGTTCGGAAAAAATTTAGCAGCATCAGATGAAACAGTAGAATCGATGGTATGTTCATGAATGTTTTTGAATTAAACAGACATTAATAATTCATTAATACTGTTGTTTATTGGACTTCTGTCAGACTACCGCACATTCGTAATTACTAATAGTAATATTCTTCTTCTTCTTCGCGTTCACCAGCTGTAAACTCTGGCGGGAGGTTCTGGTTGCTCGTCCACTACTGAACTGCAGTCCTGCTCCAGAACCTGAGTGTTGCGTGTGCATCAGTTTTACAGATCTCATTCTCTTGAATACAGACTGTTGGTTCCTTGCCTCTCCGGCAGATGCACTCCGACTTCAAAGGAAGCTCCCCAATTAGTCACTCTTACGACATGCTTTTGGGGAGGCAGTGGGTCTATTCTTGTTTTCCCCACAATAGGTCACCGGAACCCACACGGGGGATTCGTAATATTAATTTAGGTACTTTGTTGTCAAATATTTTGGCTCTCCTTTGAATCGCTCCCCAAAATGGTGGCTTTAATATATTGGCGTTCAAAAGAGAGCTAAATTGGCCAATTTTTGGCCATAAAATATCCAAAAATAAAATATTAGTCGTGTTCCAGAACCTGAGTGTTGCGTGCACATCTGTTTTACAGGTCTGATTTATTTGTATGTAGATTGAAGATTGTAATTGTTGGTTCCTAGCGGAAGATGTACTCCGATTTCAAAAGAAGCTCCCAGTTAGTCGACTCTTATGACATGCTAGTTGGGGATTCATTGGGTCTATTCATGTTTTTTTCCACAATGGGGCCACAGCACCCACACAGGGAGAATTATTTGTACTAGGGATGCTAGTTAAGTTTTATGTATTGGGTTTTTGGCTCTCCTTCGAACTTCTACCCCATATTATGGCGGCGGCTATCTTCTGAATAATGGGCACATATTATGGCGGCCAAAAACGGGGCCTCAGTCACGTGTCAATTGCGCACTTACGGAGATCTAATTTGCTGTTTTCCGGTGACTACTGCCAACGCCGAGAGTTTCCCCCACGCTGCTCACGCGGCGTGTATTGGGGCTAAACAAGATGGCTAGGACTCACAAGCAGCAGCTTCCTCATCTCCTGCAGCTTTGCTCGTAAGTCCCAGCCACAGAGGCCACGTAAACCAACTGAGGTAAGAAAAAGTGAGCTCATATTGTGAATTGGCTTTGGGACTCTCTGGACTACTGAAGTGTATACATTCCTCATGAATAATGGTTTTAGTTATTGAGTTCAATAGAGTTAGATAATATGTTGAATTATTTATAACAATGTAGAAATGATAGAATAATAAAGGTAAAAGTAACAGAGCTCAATATTGTGTATTTACATCAGACATTCTCATGTGGATAGTGACCACATTCTGGTACAGTTTGTTTATGCTGTCGTCATGGCTGTGATTGCAGTGTTAATGTGCTTTGAGTGTATCACCACTGAACTATGTGAGACACCGATTGTGATATTACCCATATTAGACACATGCACATTCTAGTGTCTTTCTTTTCCATTTAAAAAAAAAACTGAGCCACGCAGCGCATTGCAGGTGCTGCTAGTTGTAAATTATACTAGTTAAACAAAGATATGTTTATTATTTTTTAATGCTTTACATTCAACAGGCGGGACAAGAAACACGTTTGGTCAGCACCAGTTCTGGTCCTAGTACTACTGGCTCAGAAGTCAAGTCTTCTGCGGTAGTCAAGTACAGTTCTGTCAAATTTCCAGTTCAGTTCTCGACAATTCGCCTGAACACTGATTTGAATTACCCGCCCAGCGGCAGACATCAGGCTGGCTTTTACATGTTCCAGGATCAGCACATGCATCATAATGCCCCTCACTTCTCTCAGTTTCTAAGGTGCAGTATGTTTTAAATATCTTTTCGCACTTCTAAGAATAGTAGGCATGTGGTATGGGTTCTTCTTAGCATTCACCAGCTGTAAACTCTGGTGGAAAGTTCTGGTTGTTTGTCCATTTCTGGACTGCAGTCCTGTTGCAGAACCTGAGTGTTGCATGTGCATCCGTTTGACAAATCTTACACATTTGTGTGCAGAATGTTGGTTCCTTGCCTCTCAGGTAGATGCACTCTGACTCCAAAGGAAGCTCCCAATTTGTCGACTCCTTTTGGGTAGGCAGTGGGGCTATTCTTATTTTCCCTATAATAGGGTCCACGGAACCCACACAGGGGTGTTGTATGGGTAAGTAAAGGACCCTTTTTCATGAATTCACATGTATTGGGCATGTAGGGCTAGACCTATATTTTATAGACTAATCGGCACTTGGTGGGTGATGTGTCAGCATCACGCTGGCCAATTTTACTTCCTAAGACTTTACACGGTACCCATTTAGGGCTGGGGCGAATTGGGAACCAAGGTCAAATTTGTGTTAAAAAAAAAAAAAAAAAAAGTCTGGCTCTGTTTGGATTTGAAACAAAGAACTGTAGTTCTGCAGCACCACAGCAACTCTCTATCTGGTATAGGTATATAGTTCCATATCGTTTAGACCAATCATCACTCTGTTAATTCTCAAGACATACATTCTCTCGTTAAATGCATATGAATGACTGGCCTAACCTTTGTCTGCATGCCGGATCCTGCAGGTGTTCAAGGCAATGAGCATTCACATTATCTGGCTGCCAAGGCGGTTACTATGACTGGCCCAACTCTGGACAGGATTAAAATCATTAATGCCATGTGAGATGCATATAGGAAAGAAGATCACAACAACAAAGTCTTATTATCCTTGTCCAGGTTGGTGGATATGGGATTGCAACCTCAAGCAGCCAGACATCAACATTCCACTTCCCCGTTTTGGGTTCAGGGCCCCATTTTGGGGGATCAAGAACAGACTCACTGTTGTCGTAACAAGTATGTCATAAAAAGCAAATAATTAGGGCTGTTTCTTTTGAAGTCAGCGTTTATCTGCCTAAGAGGCGAAGGACCAACAGTCTCCATTCAAATAAGTCAGATCTGTAAAAGTGATGTGCTCACAAGACTCAAGTTCTGGAATGAGACTAAAGCCCAGAATTGGATGAACAACCAAAACTTTCTGCCAGTTTACAGAAGAGGAAGAAGGCGATTCCGCTAAGGGCACAAGACTCCTAACCAGGCACGAAAAGTCTTTTTACTCTTTCTGGAGCTGGTGAGGAGGTGTTTGGAGCACCTGTGGATCTGTCTGGAGCGCTTGATGATGTACCTCACTAATCACTACTATCATGTACTGTGCTTCTAAGCATATAGGCTTAATATGTTTCACTGTCTGACATGGTCATTAGGGATCTGGTCAGCGTGCTTGTCATGCCCTATCCATTTAGCTGGACCATCCAGGTATATATTTCTTTGTCTTCCCTTTACTCTTTTTTCCATCAGTTTTGCCAGCCGCTAAGTTCTTGAGTCCAGGTCGTCTCATAATTAAATTTTGAAATCATTGCTCTTCTTGGCATCTTGAAGAAGGTCATTTGCCACAGCTTTACTTCTTGTCAGTGACCATACTGGTTTGTTAACCTTGGCCAGTGTTACTGTAATATGTTCCTCTGCCTGCTTTTGGGGAAACTTGAGACCACAACCAAGAACTATCTTTTTGGCTGCTCTCAAGCTTAGTCCATCTCTGCACCTGCAGTACACACCTCTGCTCTGTCTGCCTGAGTTCCAGGGTCTCATGGGCGGGGGGAATAGACCCACTGCCGCCCCAGCAAGCATGTTGTACGAGTAGACTAAACTGGGGGGAAAAAGGGGGGGGGGGATACACCCACTGCTGCCCCAGCAAGCATGTTGTACGAGTATACTAAACTGGGAAGAAAGGGAAGGGGGGGTGTCATTTATAGTCAGAATGAATCTGCCTAAGAGGCAGGAAACCAACAATCTGGATACAGTTAAGTAAGGTCTGTAAAACTGATGAGGCTCTGGGACAAGACTAAAGTCCAGATATGGACAAACAACCTGTAACTTATTAAAACACTTAATCAGAAATGTGTTTATTGATGCCAGATGTCACATTGTACTACACTGTTGATTAAATCTTTTCTTCTTTGAGTTCATCGGCTGTAAACTCTGGTAGAATGTTCTGGTTGATTCACCACCTCTGCACTTTAGCCTTGTTCCAGAACCTGAGTGTTGCATGCATATCTGTTTTACAGTGTTGCATGCATATCTGTTTTACAGATCTTTTTTGGTATGCAGACTGTTGGTTTCTTACCTCTTGGGCAGATGCACTCCAACTTTGAAGAAAGCACTCATTTGTTTGACTCTTACAATATGCTTGTTGGGGAGGCAGTGGGGTCCATTCTTGTTCTCCCCACAATGGGGCCCCGGGAGCCCACATGGGAAACATTTGATTAAATGTAATCTTTCTCTCAAATTATCAGTGTCAATATGGCTGATACATATCAAGATTTGGTTGGAAAAGTTGATGTCATCTCATCGTCTAAGGTATGTACGATCCTTTACAAAAGATTTGATGAAGCTAATTAAATGGTTTTAATTAAATTAATCAAATTAAAAGAAGCAACAGATTCAGCCACACATAGATGAAGCTGTAATTACTCCTGCAGTACCAATTTTTGTATATGTGTATCGGGGAAGGGGATCTTGGAGCCTGATAATTTAGATGAGGTTAAGGTTTTGTTGTTGTTGCTCACAACAGAAAAATCCCCTCCCCCCCCCTAACCTTAGTTAAGATTTGAGCCTGGGTCTCCTGCATGAGAGCCCAGCCGTACGGCTAGCCACTCCTCATTCGAGGAATATATTTCTCTAATTTTGGTATATGTAGCTTTGTAAGCTTTATATAAAACTACAGTAGCAGGGATAAGTCAGTGTAAGGGTGGACACATGGATATGGAGACGGTAAAGGCATGATAGTACGTTAGGCAGATTGGAAAAGGAAGCAATATTCTGCAGAGGATTTTCTGAATGATTATGATGATACGTTTTTGTGTGTGTGGGTGCATCCATGCATGTTGTCCACATTTGCAAGGTTCAGAACATTGTGAGTGGTTCCTGCATGTGTATTACGAAGCTGGGCACATGGAAATGAATAAGGATTTGTCATTGTCGAAATGAAAAAATATATATCATTTGAAAGAGTAATAGCCACAATAAATCCCAGATTTTTAAACTTAATTTTAAAGATTTCAGCATCATTTTATGTTCATTTGAGTGTACTTTTGAAAATATATGTAGAGAATACTAAAGTGATCCATCGTGCATTATTTACATTTGTTACTGCAAGGTTAACGAAAAGCTGGCCTTCTCGTTTTTATATTTCCACTTTGGGACAGTGGTGAAGCCTGTATCAGTATGAATTACTATTACGTTCAACATGTAAACTGGGACAGTAATCCATTGCCCTTTCAAGTTCCCTGCACTTGCAGGGATATAAAAAGCAGACCCAAGTTGCCCAGCACCAACTGCATGCATGGAGGTAACAACTTCTCCACTAAAAGCAGAACAAACAAAAGTGAGAGTTTTTTACTACAGCATTGGGATGGGAAAATATGCACAAAATGAATGGATGTCTTTTTAACCATTGTAGTAACTACATACTGTTTTCATTTTTTTTTTTTGGTAATTGGCTGACCTAATTTTATTGTAACCCACTCGCATTGGGAACTCTAAAAAAAATCCTGAGCCATGACCACTTTTGAATCCCCCCCCCTCCCCCCCCCCCCAAAAAAAAAAAACTTTTGAAAAAATGTTCACAAGGTCATGAATAAATTTGTTACAAGTTTATTTATCTACTTTCTACATTGTGAAACATTTTTGCTGAAGATGACAATCAATAACTATGAACATTGTGAAGCATTTAATGGAATGCATTCCTGGGACTGTAATAGACACATATTTTGGGGGGATTCATGGCATCACTAAGACTTTCTGACAAATTTGACTTCAGCTTAGCCTTAAAAAAAAAGGTATTTGTTTGAAAGAAACATGTCCCCCCCCCCCCCCCCCCCCTCCCCTCTCCCTCCCTCCCTTTTGCACAGGCGTGAAAATAGCCAGTAACATAAACTGTGCTTTTCGTAAGCAGGTCACGATAAACAAGTTGGAAAAGTGACATTTACAAGGAATTGGACCCAACTGAAAGTGTCGGTTTTGCTGCTTCTCAAAGCATTTGGGATACAATTAAAACATTTATAATAAAGGCATATTTTTCATTATTTGGGTAAAGGTAATGCTGATTTTGTTTTTCCTTTTTAGAATATTAAAACGCTGTTGAAAATGCCATACAGTGAATCACCATCTGTCAGTATTATAGTTCATCGTCTGCGTAAGACATTGCTGTTAGAAGAGTTTGATGTTCACAAGCATTTGTTAAAAAAAGAGGCAGTAAGTATCTGTTTTTTATTTTATATTGTTGTTTTTTTTAAAACTCAACGTATGTTTTATTTTGAAGTATACTTATTTGCTGTGAAAAATTATGTTTTAGTAAATGGGCATATGCTAAATATTATGATTAATGCATTTGATAATCATCTTAACATTGTATAGAATTAAATGAAAATGATACTGCAGCGAGATGAGAAAACTTGTTGAGGATAATAATAGATTCAGATAATATTTTCCGTTTGTAAATTTAAATAATCCAGACACAGACAATACACTGAATATTTAGCACATAGTATATTTTGCTGTAACTCGGCAGGTGCATTACTACAGAGCTGAATCGACATTAATGAAGCAAAAAAGGAATTGCTTTTCGCTGTAATACAAAAAAGGAAGTGTCAGATTTTTTATGAGAGAGATGCAACTTAGATTAACAAATTACAGTGTGATGTGTGATTGACAATTACAGTGTGATGTGTGATTGACAGTTACAGTGTGATGTGTGATTGACAATTACAGTGTGATGGACAATTACAGTGTGATGTGATTGATAATTACAGTGTGATGTGTGATTGACAATTACAGTGTGATTGACAATTACAGTGTGATGTGTGATTGACAATTACAGTGTGATGTGTGATTGACAATTATAGTGTGATGTGTTATTGACAATTACAGTGTGATGTGTGATTGACAATTACAGTGTGATGTGTGATTGACAATTACAGTGTGATGGACAATTACAGTGTGATGTGATTGATAATTACAGTGTGATGTGTGATTGACAATTACAGTGTGATTGACAATTACAGTGTGATGTGTGATTGACAATTACAGTGTGATGTGTGATTGACAATTATAGTGTGATGTGTTATTGACAATTACAGTGTGATGTGTGATTGACAATTACAGTGTGGTGTGTGATTGACAATTACAGTGTGGTGTGTGATTGACAATTACAGTGTGATGTGTGATCAACAATTACAGTGTGATGTGTGATCGACAATTACAGTGTGATGTGTGATTGACAATTACAGTGTGATGTGTGATTGAAATTACAGTTTGATGTATATTTCAGCAAAATTGAGTCATTTTTGTAAGCCTCCTCAAATGTTGATTCAGCTCTGCACCTGACAAGATACAATGAAAAATGCTAGTAAATAAATTGTGTAATTTATTGTTTGTCTCCTCATTATTTAAAGATAATAATAATAGGACAATAGGGAGATGAATGGTTGTAGACCACGAGGCAGACCAAAAAGAGATGGAGAGATAATGTCCAGACCTTTAAACACTTGGTGTCACCAACAAGAAAGAGAAGGTCAACCAGAGAGATGCATGGAGGCGGGTGATATCTGCAGCACTGAACCTCAAGGGCTCAGAATGATGAAGAAGAAGAAGAAGAATAGGATGAAATAAACCAATATTCTGATATGAAATTTACACTGCAAAAAAATATACTTCAAAGATATTTTATAAACTTGGCCATATTTGTAACATAGCAAGGGCACTGCAGCTTCACCATTAGAGTTAACACAAACTATTAGTTGGCCTGGGGTCTGGTGATTTTAAAGAATAATTCAGCTTCTAGCTTGGCTCAATCAGTTTTGGGTAACACACAGGTGTTCTTGGAAGTAAAGTCAATTGACTTGCTATCAGCCATATCACACATCCTATGCCTGCTTATAAATAACTGTCCAGACAGCAATGGGACTTCTGTCGGAAATACATCAGTTGATGGAATTTGTAAAATTTTTTGTTGACGTATGTAATGTGCTGTGTAATGAAGGCTATCTATGCGCAACGTTTGCTTGTCATTTGTGTTCATGAAAATGTGAAGCTTACTAGTTCTACTTTTCATTTTCTGGTTATCTTTTCACAATTTATTTATAAAAGTTTGGGATTGGCACCATATTCAGCAATTTTCATTTCATAGATTCCCATGTAGGTTCTGGGATAGCATTGTCGGCAAAGCAAACAACCAGACTTCCTGCTGCCCCTTCTCACATGTTGTAGGAGTCAACTGATTGGACCCCTGATATATTACCCAGCTTATCTCTATTTTATTAGATACATTTGTTTAAAGTCTGCATATGTATGATGTCACTGTCAGTTGAGGATTTTTACTAAAGATATTAGCAAATACTAATTGCATGTTTGCTGTGCACACGCATGCACAACATCCATACATGTCTACCTGTGTGTATGTCTATATATATATATATATATATATATATATATATATATATATATATATATATATATATATATATATATATATATATATATATATATATATATATATATATATATATATATATATATATTTGTATGTATATATACACACACACACATGCACCCACATGTGCGCACACACACGCATGAATGTACATATCTGTGTTGCATATTCTTATAAACCTGCTATTCTTGTAGGAAGAATGGAGCTGGTTGAAATCTTACTACAATAAAGTGATCGCCAAAGGACAAGAAGACAAAGTAAGTTTCTTATTGCCTCTGGCTGGCTAATTATCTCCTGTAGTGAACAAGTTCTAACTTGGTTTCTGTAGATTTTAATCTTAATCAGATGTGGCTGAGCTACTGTATAATAATAATAGTCTGTATTCATTCATTGTCCTGTTGTGCCATTCTGTGTCAGATAGGACTTGCTGGCAATCTGTTCCTCCATTACATTATGTCCTGTGCAATCACCTCAGTGTCATGGATGGAACCCAGTCCAGCATCTTTGGCCTGTCTCACCAACATTTGTTTTAGGTTTTTTTTTGGGTGGGGGGGGGGGGGGGGGGGGGGGTGGGGTGGGGGCATCATTGCTTCCTTACTTACTTACTTACTTAGTCGCTCCTCTTTTACCTTGGGGTGTAGAGGTTTGCCAGAGAGATCGCCAGACGTCTCTGTCAGCAGTTTTCTTTCTGGCTTTGTTCCATTCCAGTCCTCTATCAGTTAGGGACTGTTGAATGTTGTCTTCCCATCGGTCTCTGGGTCGCCCTGAAGGTCTGGTTCCCTGGTTCTTAGCCTCCCATGCCTGCCATGGTAGCTGATTTTCTTCCATTCTGCATACATGTCCAAACCATCATTGATTCCTAAATTTGTTTACTTCCCATTTTAGTGTATGTTTGGTGATTCTCTGCTCGTGTCTTCTCAGAATATGTCAAGAATAATGCCATCTTTTTTGTTTCATAACTGTTGATACCAGTGGGTGCTTGGATATTTATTTTATTTCTTCACCCCTCTTAAATTCATCCCAGTAGTCAGTATTACCTATTTTCTGTGAATGCTGAATGTTGGGTGACATATGCCAACCCTGAAACCTCTTGGTTGGCAACAGGTCTAGGAGAGAAGCTCTAACAGGTGAACAAACAGAGCATACTCTTCTGATCTAGCAGCTTCTGCAGCAAGCTTTGTTCCAGTCATATTGGCGTTACCTTTCCTTTAGATTTAACAAAGCCCCTTGAAAGAGGGATCATGCTGTATGGACAACATAAGGTCTCTGCAGTACTGCCCAGGCTTTGTGTTCACCTTAGTTAATGGTACTAGGCTCATGTTTTATATCACATTCAGCTCTTGATGTGCTATGTGGTCGGCCTAATATGGAGGGAAGGAACTTTATCCATGGCCTTTTTTGGTCTTGCAGTGGGCTGTGATTTCTACGCTTCCCTATGGCACAATGTAACATTGTCATCAGGAAATACTACCCAGTGTTTTGTAGACAGTCAGCATTTGATGTGTGATGTAAAACTAAAGAACCCTTTTCCACGCCTTCAGGCGTATTGGGTATATAGGGCTAGACCTATATTTTATCGACCAAACGACACTTGGTGGGTGATGTGGTCAGCATCACGCAGACCACCTTTACTTCTCATAACTGTACCTAGTACAAGACTGGGTCGATTTGGGAGCCAAGGTCATTTTTTTTAAGAAAAAAAAAAAAGTCTGGCCCCAGTCAGGACCCGAACCCAAGACCTTCCAATCCGCAGGGAGCGTCTAGCTGCTTGAGCACGGGATGTGTGATGTGGTTGGTTTAATATGGAAAGAAGGCACTTTATTCGTAGTCTTATTTGGTATCACCATAGGCTATGATTTCATTGCCTGTCTACAGCACAGTGGAAGGAACGCTGTCGTCTGGAAGGCTGGATAGGTGCCAGAATCTGTTTCGATCTTTGTTTTTCACTGTAGATCTTATAATAATAATATGGGGCATATAATAAAGAATTGGTTTAGATTACCATTTTTCACATTCAACGACTTTAAACTCTGGTGGAAACTTCATCCGCTTCTGTACTTTGGTCTTGTTCCAGAACTGGAGTTTTACATGCACATTTGTTTTATAGATCTGGCTTATTTGTATGCACACTATGTATGAGATGTTCAATAAATGGAAGTGAGGTTAAACAGTCATGAGCAGGATGTGACAATTCCTTGGGTGAGCCCAGTACCAGAGCACCATGTATTAGCTCTGCATTTGTGAAAGCCTCCTTGGATGGCGGGGAATGCCCATGTTCTGCCCCTGCCTTCTCTTGAGGGCTGATCAGCGTTATGTGGCTTCTCTGGACCAGCCTGATTGGGGCACCACCTGTGACCTGGGAATAAAGATGACCACACAACAATGAGACTGCCATGTCCTAACCGGGAAGGCTAACCCGGTCAACAAATGCCCACAGAAGTCGGATGTGTTGGCCGAAAGGTGCAAATATCGCAGGCATGCTGTAAATGGACACAACGCAATTACATCTTCGGATGAACGCAGAAGAAGAAGAAGAAGTATGCAGACTGTTGGTTCCTTGCCTCTCAGGCGGATAAACTCGGACTTTGAAGGAAACCCCTTATTAGTCGACTCTTCCGACATGCCTTTTAGAGACGCAGTGGGTCTATTCTTTTGTTTCTCCTCACAAGAGGCCCCATAACCCACATGGGCAGTTCAGATATGGTATGCAGCAGTGTGCAGTACTGTTTTATAGACAGATCAGCACTAGATGGGTGATGTAGTCAACATCGCACAGGTCGCCTTTACTTCCCCGGACATTACTTGGTACCCATTTTAGGTTGGGTTGAACTGGGAGCCAAAGTCAGTTTATGAAAACAAAATCTGCCGTGATGCGGATTTGAAACTAAAACCTTTGGGTAAACAGGCAAACATCTAGCCACCGTATTACTGCAGCTCGCCTCAGTATATGGTGCTAAACCCAACTATATAAATAAAAATAAAAATGTAAATGTTCGTTTGTTAGTAATAGCTAATCTCCTAAAGTTCTTCACCAATTACTGTGAAATGTTAACACAAGGTTGCATTCAAATATGCACATTTTTTTAAATGAGTGGCCCACAAAGCACAAACCACCTTAGCTCCAGCGACAATCACATCAGTTTTGTTTTGTTGCCGCATTCTTTGTGGGGATTTTACTTCCGCTGGTAGACAAACTTTGACTATTAACCTGAGAAATGTGCATGAAGCTTTGAGCCAACAGTTCTTCACTGATTGCTTTCAAATTTTGACACAAAGTTGCAGTTACGCGAGTGCTTTAATAAAAGAGTGTCGCTCACAGTAGGAACTAGCTCCAGCAATGATCACATGGGCATCTTCGTTGTTTTTTTCCGACTATCCAGTTTTTTCCTTGCTGCGTTCCCGGCGTGGGTTGTAGGCGAACTTTGACTGTTGACCTCAGAATCTACATGAAGCTGTATGAGATAATAAATGATGTGGTAAATATTACACTGTCTGCCTTCCCTTCTCATTACAGTTCATGCTACCCATTTTAGTCTGAGTGGACACGGATGCTAAGGTCAATAAAAAAACAAAAAACTATCAGGTGATGAATTTCTAATCCTTCGGAGAGGGAGAGAGGAGTAGTCGGTGGATTGGGGGTGGAGGGGAAGGGGTGACAGGTTGGCACAGTATTATTTTTTTTACAGCGAGGCTGTAACATCTACTTCTTTTGGCCCAACACATGTGATTGCAACAAACACCTAATTAGTCGCCTGTCACAACGTGCTTGTTAGGGGGCAGTGATTTTGTTTTTACCCTCTATATTTGAGGCCCCCTGAACCTCCACTTAGATTTAAACGTATGCTTCCTGGACCAGCTGAAAAGCCTACCTACTCAGTGTGGCGTTGCAGCTTGCTGATACATATGTATACAGTCTTTACAGAAATAATCTTTTGTTGCTTTGATAGAGAACGATTGATTTAATTTCCAGCAGATGGAGGAAGCAGAATTTGAAGTTTAAGATTTAATGTTTTGATTATTGGTTTTTAAAAAAAGCCAGAAATTTCCCCTTGTGGGTACCAGGGCCCTATTTTAGTTTTTTCCTTCAAAGAGAGAGAGGCAAGAAACCAACAGTCTACCTACAGATACGCTAGATCTAAAATCTGGATTTGAAAGAAAACTCAAGCTCTGGAACAAGACAAACAACCAGAACTTTCCGCCAGAGTTTACAGCTGGTGAGCGCAAAGAAGAAGAGTCTTGAAAGCGCTCCAGCCAGACTGAAATACCTAACTCCTACCATTATGAAATTACAGATAATATTACAAAATCACATGTTCAACTTTCTGACAGTGGCTTGAACATAGATTATTTTGGGGAAAAATGTATATTTCTTTACTTACAAAGATCATTTAATGATATTGGAAAGATGTTTATTAAATAATGAGGTGAAACTAAATGTGTGTGTAATCTATAGATTTTTGAATTTTGTTTTCCAGAGCAAATGCATTGTCAGTGCCAACCCAAGGCGAGATTCATTTACAGAAAAAATTTATATGAATCTCATTCGCCATAGGTACGTTTTTTAAAAACATTTTGCAGCTAAAGCACCAAATTTTTTTTTTTGCAATTGTATTTTGTAAAAAAAAAATTATTATTCCAAAAACGTAAAAAGTTTTTTTGTTTTGTTTTTTGTTCTGATAATTCCTCCACTTTTAGACAAGCCTTATATCAGAACTTGAGTTTTGCATCATACTGATAGACGCCTAATCTCTTTCAAATTCCTCTCTGTGTGTATTAATAGCTCCTCATATAGGCTTCAGATCCCCATAGAGAGCACGCAAGGATTGATCAGCTGTCCTCATTACAGGCATGTTGTAAAAAGCAACTAATTATGGGTTTCCTGAAATTGGGTGGGCCAAAATCTGCTGTAAGCCACATATGTCAGTCGCCCTTTTAAAGGGGAAAGAGGGAGAAGTATTTATGGCTCATTATGTGCTAATTGCAATGTTTGGATAATGCAACTTTTGTTTAATACAATTATAAATCTCGAAGTAGGCCATACTCTGCGTGAGGGTTCCTGGGCCCCATTGAGGGAAAAACAAGAATAGACCCACTGCCTTCCCAGCAAGCTTGTCATAGGAGCTGACTAACTGGGCACTTCCTTTGAAGTCGGAGTGCATCTGCCCAGCGGCAAGGAACAACCAACTGCACACAAATAAGTCGATAAAACAGATGTACATGCAAAACTCAGGCCCTGGCACAAAGCCAAAGCCCAGATGGATAAACAACCAGGCCTTTCTGCCAGAGCTTACAGCCAGTGAACAAAGAAGAAGAAGAAGAAGAAGAAGAGGAGACAGTAGGCTAAAGGACCAAAATGTGTTGTGTTTTTACCCCTAGGGCTTTCATAGTTGATTTAGTTTAGAGATGCAGCGATGGTTAACTTAAAAATTTAGTTTGTGATCATATGCTAGTTTGACAGTATTATAATGTAAGTTTTAATAGGCAGTACAATGTTGTGTGTTCTGTAGAGATAGTCCACTGCGATTAGTGATATTTCTTTGAAGTACTGTCACCTGTTTAGTGATTTTTGTCTTGGCGAGGTGGTTCGCAAAGGGGCTTTTGTCAGCAAAGGAGAAAAAGAATGTTGTTGTGGACACTGTACCCAGGTGACTTGGCACAGTGACATGGTCTGTCCGATCACTCTAACCAGAGCTATGCAGTAGCGAAGGAGTTGTAGGGCAGATTGGAGGCACAGGAAAGGGCTTGGATCACAGGCTGATGGTCTGGACCCTGTTAAAACCTGGAAGGTCACCATATGAGTTGCAATTTTAAAACCCTCTGCCAGTTGGGGTAGGGTTATAACACATGCCACCCCTGAAGGTAAAACTGCTTACTGTTTTTTGTTTTGTTTTGATAAGTATATTGAGGGGTGATGTGTATGTTCTGGTGGTGTTGGGTTAGTTGTGTTTGATTGAAATATACACATTGTCATGGAGCTGCCAACGAGCCATTGCCTGTGAGGCAGTAAGCAGCTGCTTGACAAATTATATTGTTTTACAGTTGAAATAATGATAAATTTGTGTGTGTGGATAGTTTTGCAGCAAGTGTCGACGTCAGTGAGTGCACAGCTCTAGAAACTGCAGACAACAGATCAAAACACATTGAGCCTGTGTTAGAACCACCAGAGGTATAGTTTGAGGTTTTATTTTGCTGTGTTGTATATTTTATTTTGTTGTATATGCCCAGTTTAATTCATTTAGTCCCTGATGTGTTTCTTTAATTCCTCTTGTTCTAATAGATTGTTGCTTGAAGTAATGCATGTTTAGGTCCGAAGGGGATCAAATAAGGACATCCGAAGGGGATCGTATAAGGACACTTTAGGATAAAAAGAATATTAGAAATGGGATAAAAATTTGTTAAAGCTACAGACAAACTTTTTTTTCAATGGGCTAGGAATTTGGCATGCAGGCCCATCTGAAATTCTTCCCTTCTAACCTTACTACTTTCACGTCCTTTCATTCATATATCTTTTAATAAGTAATGATAAACATGGTCAACAGTGCCTAAATATTAATTATAAGCACTGGCTGTGAGCATAATATTTCTTCTGTTTCTTCCTCTGGTACAGTAATTATTTCTATCTGCACTTTGTCCACAGAAATCCCTATCTCCTCAGCCTCATCTTCAACTACCACCATCATTTAACACAGTCCACTGCATCAGGGTCTCAGATGCACAGTAAATGATAACATGTTAATCAGGTTTTTCCCTCTTTAAATAAGACAGTTCACTTTCTTCTTATGCAAAATAAATAAATCATACAAAACCTGGTTTCTTATACAGTTCGTAAACAATCAAATGAATTCCCAATAATATTTTCTTTAACAGCTATGTCTCACATTAGCTACTCTAGCAACTAGCATTTCTTAGATTTTATTTTTTTATCCAGCATCTGGTCAGCTCTGAACTAGGGGGCCTTTAAGTCTGCTTTAGAGCTTACTAAATTCCCTGCAGAACCTCTAAGCTCTAGCCTAGACCTGCCTTACTTTGTCTTGACTAGCCAGGTGCTCTCTTTATGTAGGTATTCGTGGCCGCTTCTAGAATATTCTGCTATTGTGACATGAAAATATGACAGTCATGATCAAATTTGGAAAATCTTGTCAACAGACAGTTTACATGTACTGAAAAGCTGGGTCACATTCTAATTCTGGCTACATTTCTGGAAGTCTCTAGAAGCCAAGGCCATTTCACCACTGCATTGTTTTGGTACAGCCAAATTCTGGGAAAGCTTCTAGAAGCAAGGGTGAAGGCTGCAATGCATCCATTGTCTTGGGAAATGAGCGGGCAGGCAGATTGGCTGGTTCTGCACCACTTGGTGGTAAATGAGTGCGTGTCAAGCTAAATGTAAGGACCCTTTAGGAGCAAGTAAACAGTGTGGAGCTGCAGGTAGAGCATCACAATCTGAAGAGAATGGCAAAGAGAGGAAAGACAAGGGATCCGGCTGATGGCACCTGTGGGAGGGACAAGAGAGACAATAATTCAGACTGTTACTGGTACCATTGGAATTGGAACTCATAACTCTCAACTGTCCAGAGGATGCCATTCACAGATTTGTAAATTCACATTTCCTTTGTTGATATTGTTTGAATAAAACTTCTGTTTTTCTGTGATCTGCAGGATTTGAAAGGCTTTCACCATGAGACGTTATGGAAGTTTGAGGACATAAGCATGCTGATTGACAGCGATTTACCTATTTTTGGCAGTGGTGAAACCCGTCGACCTTGTATCAGCTTGAGACTTCGAGATGCTCGATCACCACCAATAAATGTCCTCACCGGGCTAGATTATTGGCTGGATAATTTAATGAGCAATGTTCCAGAAGTGGCCATGTGTTATCATGTGAATGGACTTGTACAGGTAACCTCAAAAAATGTAATTTGTGATTCTTTTTCATGTTTGAGGAAGAGAGGTTATCCTGGTGTACTGCACAGGAGTGTTTTAGTTATATTAATGACACTGGGAACTTCACCAGCACAGTTGCCTATCGTGAACTATAGTTTTTTAGTCCACATCAAGATGAGTTTTAAAAATTGATCTAGGCTCCCTACCTAAAATGAGAAATGTACTGGAAAGTAAAGGTGACCAGCTTGATAATCACATAACCCAGGGAAGTGCTAAATATTGCACCAACTCATTGGTATGTCATTTTCACTTAATATTTTGTGCCGGGAGCATCAGTAGCATTGAAGCCTAGCATTGACCTGACAGCCTGATGGTCATAGGATCAAATCATGGGATTGTTCAGATTGACCTCTACTGTAAAATGCATTTCTTCAGATTATATATATATTCCCTATATATGTATATGTGTGTGTGTATATATATATATATATATATATATATATATATATATATATATATATATATATATATATATATATATATATATATATATATATATATATATATATATATATATATATATATATATATATATACATATACATATATATTCCTTTGTGGGTTGTATGGCTTCGTAGGGAAATGAAGATAACAGCCACTGCTCCCCCTAACAAGCATATTGTGAAAGGCGAGACTAATAAGGGGGTGCTTCCTTCAAAGTCCAGAATTTCAGAAAATTCTTTAATTAGTCCCATTTTGCACCATGTTTGTTATGGGATAATGAATCATGTAAGTAAAATCAAAGTGAACGTCCCTTAACATGCCAGTGGTGCATCGACTAGACTCGTATAGACAATCAGCCCTCGATGAGTGATATGGTTAACAGTACACTGGCTGCCTTTACTTCTCTAGACTTTACCTGCTACCCATTTAAGACCGGGTCGACCTGGAAGCCAAGGTCATGTTTGAAAAAACTCCAAGCGAATTTTAACCCACTATCTTTAGATCCACAAGCGAGTATCTAGCCATTGCACCATGACAGCTCCCAGCTATGTAACGAAGTAGTGAATATTTTAAGAAGAAAATTCTTTGTACAGTTTGATATTTCACAATTATTGAAATTAGATTTACATGTCAAATGTAACTCTGTTTTTCTGTAAGTTTGTTCACTTTTCTTTACCTCCAAATAGAAATATGAAGTTATGAGAACAGAAGACATCCCAAATTTAGAAAATTCCAGTTTTGATCCAAATGAAGTCCTTGACATAGCACAGAACCTCATGTCTTTTATTAAAAGACAGGCAGCAGTTGAAGGTCATACCTACTGGTTGTATAAAAGTAAGTTCTTGTGTGTGTGTGTGTAGTGATCTCTAACTTTTAATTTTGTAAATGTGTTGGTGTTAGATGGTTCCGTATTTAATTTCTGCCAGTGTCTCTTTGCCATTGCCAAAGTCTAACATGTAACATCTGTTTGATGAACCAACTGCAAGCTTGTCACTCTGGTTGTGAAGGTAGTCTGCTAATTTGCTTCTGCAGCGACAATATATAACACCAAACCTCACAATACCTGTTGCAAAACCACCATTCCGCCTTGTACGAACATCCGTTTAGCGCCGGACAAGATGACAGTGGCCTGGAGTCTTAAACCGTGCTGGCCCACCCTCTTAGATTGTCTAGGTGGACAATGGGCCGAAACAATTGTCAACGAAGGACCAACCTACTGATGAACAGTAGACTCCTTCTGTGCATGCTCCCCTGCAGAGTTCTTCTTATCTTATTGCTGTTGAAGTTTTGGTATTGAGGAGGCTTGTTACTAGACACGATTCAGCAGATCAAGGGTATTGTGTGCATCTTTGTTGTTATTAAGTATTATGCCAAATGTTGATCACTTTCCCCAGCAACCTCTTTCTTTTTAACATTTATGTTTGATGTGTTCAGTTACTGCTCACTTACCATACTGTTGTGCTAAGCCATTATATATTTTCTTTGCCGACTTATCCAGAATTTTCTCTCTCTGTCATCTTGTTTCTTCTTTCTTTGCATTCATCTTAAAAAGGCTTTTTCTTTTTTTAATGCACTTTTCAGCCTAAAACATCAAATTTCAGCAAACTCTTAGTTAGTAATCTTTTATGTTAAACTTTTAAGGAAAATATAAGATCTGAGCATTGAGGAAAGTTGGCTCATAGACAGCATCCTGTCCCGAAAGCTGAAGTATTTTGGTCATGTTAAATGTCATGGTGGCCTGGAGAGAACATTGATAGAGGGTTCAGTTTCTAGAAAATGATGCAGAGGCAATCCTTGATGAACGTGGATGCAAGACATTGAAGATGTATTAGCTGTGTGAAAGCACCTAGGGCTGGAGAATTGGCTAGAGAAAGAAAGACTTTCAGGCGTACTGTGACAGAAGCAGAGGCAATCCTTCATGAACGTGGATGCAAGACATTGAAGATGTATTAGCTGTGTGAAAGCACCTAGGGCTGGAGAATTGGCTAGAGAAAGAAAGACTTTCAGGCGTACTGTGACAGAAGCAGAGTTATGTAAACCACCTGCTGATTGATGATATAGGAACAGTAAGTCTACCCCTACTCCTCCTTCCCAAGTGAAGCTCCAGTACCCATGCCGGGTATCCTCTACCGCCACAGGGAACCCTCTGTCGCCATAGGAAATACTCTGTCTAATAATCTCTAACTTACTGATGGGTATGTATATCATGTCAAAGTGCAGCATGACAAAGAGATCCTAGAGAAGCTAGAGATGAAGAGAGAACTAATGAAAAAGTACATTTGTGGACCATGCTCATTGCCATAAAGGGAAGTGAAGACAGGTGAGCAAGAGTTAGTCAACCATTCACATGGGAAAACAAATTCTAGAGATAGATGGACATAAATCTAGCAGTGTACCATTACAGTGAAAGACATGAGGTGGGAGATGCATAGAGGTCAACCTTCATTATGGAGAAAGCAGTGAAAATAAACTCACTAGTGTATATTTGAACAAAGAAGACACAAACAATAGATTGCACAATTTATTGGCTGGCATATTTCGCTGTATTTTGTTAGGTGCATACTACAGTAACAATTACATAATTGAAGCAAATAAGTGAATCCTGAAGTATAATTTCAACAAGGATCGAACATAACTGCCTGTTTTTACAATTGTTGAAATTGTACTTCAGGATTCACTTATTTGCTTCACTAGTTGCTTGTTCATTGTCCATGTTTCTGCACCATATAGCAGGACTGGGATGCATAACCTTTGACGATTCTCATTTTTAGTGTGTTGTTTATCTCTCTAGCTGTCCGTAACTTGCTCAGTTTTAGCCATTACCACTCCCTTTTTGATTTCTGTTTCACTCCTTCCATCATCTGTTACCACGTATCCTAGACAGGAGAAACTTGTTATACTTATTCTACTAGCTCTCCATTTACTGTGATGTTCAATGTTGGCCACTCTTTTCCATTGTTAATTACCATAGTTTTTGTTTTCAAGTGTTGACTTCACCTGCTGACTTGATCAGCTATTTCTTGTAACTCCTGCATATTGTCATTGTGATTCCATTGCTAGCTTTAGATACAGTTAGTGAGGTCTCAATCTCTTCTAAGATGGCCAGCCGTGTTCTCTATTGTGTCCTGAACACGCCCCCTGTGTGCCATGCACTCTGCTGTTTCGCTTTACAAACCGTTGGTCTTTATCGATTCGTCCACCTTGTTCACTGTCCCAGTCTTCATCAACTGGTTATGGACATTTCCCTCTAGCATGATATTACTCCCACTTCATTCATGTAGTTTAGCCAGTCAGCCAAGACTGTAGCCCGTAGTGTGGTCACCACCGTACACAAGCGGTATCCGTGGAGCCATACATGAGCTAGTTAAAGAGATGGGTACCAAATATGATACTAGACTATCCAATAGGACTTGGCTGGTCTGTCTTTTTAAGTGTTCTCTAAGTATGTTTAACTCATGATGTCTTGGCTTGTCTGATATTCCTTCACTGTTGTTGACGTGTTTAGTTGTTTGTCTATAGAGTGCTACAAAAGACTCAGCTAATCTTCGGTTTCTTTGCACTCACCGCTATGAACAAGAAAACACAATTCAACTTTTCTTACAGGCTGCTTAGGACAGTTATTCTTAAAGGTCCATTCCTGCATTTTCATGTCAGCTTGCTTCAGTTGATCTTACTGTTACCATACTACTGCGAATGGCTCCCAACATCCACTTTTTTATTGTTTCAAATGCTCTGATTCACCATAAACTATTTTTGTAAACTGTTGGTTAAGGTGACCAGTGTAGCAAACTCAGTATTTCTGTAGTACTGTGCAAACTTGGCAGGTTTGTCTCTTTAAGAACCGCAGTATTTTAAATCAGATCCTCCTGTTTTATTATTTTAATTCTTATCCTCCGATTTAATTTTTTTGAACACTGATGTTAGACTGTTATCTTCTTTTTATTTATAATTTTTAGTGATGTGAAATGTTACTTCATTGTTAAAGTGATGTGGTGTATTCTGTTCAAGGTGAAAATGATGACATGGTAAAACTGTATGATCTCACTGACTACTGCAAGAATGAGATTTCCGAGGGAGACAACCCATTTACTGTTCCTGTTGGCTTGCTGTGCCATAGAGTGGGAAGGAATCTAATCAGATCGAAGCAGAGACGAACTGCTGATGTCAGAGCGATGTTTGAAAATTGTGTTAGACTGCTAGACGAGAACAAACATGCTCAGGTGGGTATCAGCCCCATTGGAAAAGTTAATTAACTCTGTATATATGGCATTAACCCTGTTGCCCCAAACCCAGCATCTCTGGTTGGTGTCATTCCCCCACAAGACCCCTGTTCCCAGCTCGCTGCAGTGGCAAGTTTATGTGAAGCATAGCTGACATAATTGTTTCTATTTGGCCTGCCTGTGCAAAAGTTTAGCAGCACATAATTCCTTACATTTACTAAAAATAGCGTTTAGAGGGGTTTGCTTGTGAGAACACCAACAGATTGTGAATCTTATGATTTTCATTGAATGCTAGTTGTCGTACCCTAGTGAGCTTGTTTTCACTGCTTTCTCCATGATGAATTTCACATTAGACATAGATCACGGAGTGTCAAGTAATTGGCACACACACATTTTTTTTAGTCTCAGAGAGACATAAATCAATTAGTTCTCTGCTGTATTCATTTTCATTGATTACTTACCTTCACCTGTATGATATTTGTTAGTTTTTTTTTAAAGATGGTAAATAGATTTTGTGGACATTAGGTGTTTTGTTACATGTAAAATGTTTGGTTTCTTTAAAATTTAATTTTTGTTAGGAATTCCCAAAATACAGGAAATTGCAGTCTTTTCTAGGTCACAGGGTGAAAGGGGTCAGGTATATATGAGTTGTATAGAGGCATAGGTAGCTGAGGAGTAAGAGTGGCCATCTCACATATTGTGGGGTGTGTGTTTGCTGCGGGGTCAAACTCAGGTTTGGGGGGGGGAGGAGGGGGGTTGAATTTCCTTTCCTTTACAATATATGATGACTCGGCTGGGACCTTTATTCCTCAGCCCTTCTTAGAATTCACAGGCTGTAAAAACTCCAGCAAAACATTTTGGTTGTTCATCCACTGTTGACTTTAGTCTTGATTGAGAACTTGAAATTTATGTGCACATCCATTTTACTCATCTGAATTATGAGTATGCATACTGTTAGTTCCTTACCTTTCAGGTAGATGCACTCTGACTTCAAAGGAAACACCCTTAATTAGTTGCCTTGTATGTCATGCTTGTTAGAGTACAACTGGTCTGTTCCTTTTCTTCCCCAAAACTGGGGTCTCAGAACCCACAAGGAAATTTCTCAACTCTGTAAAAAAAAAAAAAAAACCACCAACAACAACAACCTCTTAGCACACAATCAGTGTTACAAATATCCTTATGGAAACAAACATATATTGCAGTTATATAGAACTCCTGTGAAAGTGAGAGTTTGACAGCTTCTCTCCTCCTCCTGCCTTTTACTCATTTTTTTCCAAGTCATTGTCAGAAAGTGGTTCACATTTAGGGTTTGTAAAATGGTCTTTTACTTCTAACTCACCTCTTTAATTTTTTTTCTTTATCCTCATTATTTATTTCATCCTGAAGGTTCCCACAATACTGTTAACAGGTTTTCTCAATATGTGCTGAATCCTGTGTCAAGGTCTTTTTCATTGCTGATTAATGAGAAATTATTTAGAGACTTCTGAGATGTAGTTCTTTAGAGGATTGCTCATCAGCTGCAGGCTGTCCTTATTCTTATACTCATCACAAATTAAGCAAATTGGACAAGGTTGTGACAAAGAAATGTTAGAATAAATTAGAGATGAGAGAAAATGCTGGATGTTTGGCAGTGCTGCATTCAGAAAACATCTGTGCTAAACCTGAATTATCAAGAAATCACAGTACCAACTTCATACCAAACTGGTCCTCCCATAGTGCCAATACAAACGGTCTGACACTTGAAATGCAGTTCTTTATCGATGGAAGCATCAGTTACCACAGATCAGAAGTTTCACATGCAATTACTCACATCAGACGCCACCAGCTGATAACCAAAGTGATATTGTGCAAGGTAGGAGCTATGGACAAGCATAATGATCAGTGCCAAGAAAAAAAAGGACAAGAAAAAAGAGAGCAGATTAAGATAACATTATTATACCCATTTTCTGGGGGGAGCCGCCTTGGTGTAGCGGCTAGAAGCCTGCCTGCAGATCGGAGGCTCGTGGGTTCAGGTCCTGATGAAGCCTGACGTTTTTCAAAAATGACCTTGGCTCCCAGGTCGACCCAGCCTTGAGTGGATACCAGGTATAGTCATAGGAGGTAAAGTGGCCGGCATGGTGCTGACCACATCACCCATGATGTGCGGATTGGCCTTTAAAATATAGGTCTAGCCCTATATGCTCAGTGTGCCTGAAGGCGTGAAAAAAGGGTCTTGACCCCTATTTTTGGTGCATGTTAGATAATAGAAAAAGTGTTAACTTGTTTTTACTTTGTTAGATCTTTCACTTTGTTAACTTGTTTTGCTAGATCGTTTCCAGGGCCATATAGGTGGAGAATAATTAATGTCTGCCACTGTTTTTATGTGAAGACATGCAGGAACTGCCTCACTTTTGTGTCAAGAATAAGATTAAAAGATTAAGGGGCACTAGCAAAGCTTCTTTCATCATGGTTGTGTTACATGTTCATAAAGCTTTATTAATTTTCAGACTGAATAACATGGCATGGTTGATGTGTTAATTACTAATCAGCATTCCCCTTAATAGGGCGCTTGGTACTTTGTATTGTGGCCTACAGCTAGGTTGCGATTTATGCTGGTTTTTTTTTAGGGAGTCAGTGGGTCTCACCCCCCCCCCCCCCCCCCCAAAAAAAAAAAATAGGGCCCTGGAAAGTTGATATTCTTGAAGACGTTGATAATTCTGTTTATTGACCTAGAATCCTAGAATGACCCAGCATAAAATGAGTATTGGGAAAATTTCTATGAAGTATGGGGGGGGGGGGGGGGGGGGGGGGGGGGGGGGGGGGGGGAGTATGGTCAGAATTTTGCCAGCCTTGTTCAGATATGTCTGGTATCTATCTTTTGGTAGCTTTATATGCTTAGAATACTTCACTGTCCTCGTTTGTTTTCACTGATTCCTATCTCTCCTGTAAAAACACAATGTACAGGTGTGTGCTGAAGCACACTTCCACCTGAGTGACCTGTGGGTACCTGACAAATCGGTTAATGATGTCTGGCAAGAGAAAGGCAGAATATCTGATCCGGTAAGTCAAACATACAAAGGCATTTAAACCTTATTTTTCTATGTAAATCTTCTTGTTAATTGGGTGCTAATTATTTGTTTCTTCAAGTCCTGAATTCTTTTTTCTTCTCCTTCACATCTTCAAGGCCCCCATCCCTTTCTGTCACATTCTGTTCGAGATAATGTTGCATAGATTCAGAGATCTCTTCCTGCCCTGATGCCGCAGGGCATTCTAGGAGTAGAGAAAAGAAAAAGAAGTCAGAAGCTGCCACATATGTGAGATGTTCGGTGTTGGTGGTCAGATTCTGGTATGTCCCCTGAAAGAAATGCAAAACTGTTGGCCAATTACTACAGGTTTGAGGAAAATGCTGGTATTAAAAAATTTTTTTTATAATGCAGTAACAGCGACTACTTCTAATTCACTAGGCTTAGACATTTATTTTTGTTGGTAAACTATTTTTCAAGAACCGTTGTGTAGCGGCGAGATACTTGCCTGCGGATGGAAAGTCGTTGATTCGGGTCCTGACAAAGCCTGACTTTTATTTTTATTTTTCAGAAATGACCTTGGCTCTCAGGTCGACCCAGCCTAGAGTGGGTACTAGGTTACAGTTCTGGGAAGTAAAGGCGGCTGGCATGATACTGATCACATCACCCACCCAGTGATGAACTGTTAATTGTTATTAATTGTTGTCACAACTATTACTAGTATGTTTAAGTGTATGTATGCATGTATGCATGACAGTAGTATTTTATTTATAAATGTATGCTGGAACATAAGGCTAATGGTATATGAGAGAAACATGATAACTTTTGTACACCATTAACACACGTGTGTTAGCATGTAGAGGGTCGGTAGTCCAGAACCCAAGTTTAAAGTGTGCCCTTCGTGCCAAAGAACTGCATAGTTGTGGCGTGCACAATCGTTAAAGAAGGCAGTCAGGTCTACAGGGGTGACACCTTGCTGATGGGCCTTACGTCCCTGGCCCCTTCCCCAGCACGAGGGCACCACTGGGGTGACTGTTAATAAACCCTCACTACTTCCGGTCAAAATGGACGCTAGGCTGTTGTGAGCCGTGGCAAAATTTTCTTTTGCTTCTGCCAGACGGTGGCCGGTGCAATTTTGCTCCAATTGTAGACTGAGAGGATAGTTTTGTCGCCAAGCTTCTGAGTTGAGTGTTTGGTGTGACACTGTGAGCTGCTGATATCATTTGGATTGTTTTTCTACTGTGACCAACATGGTGGTGTGAATTGTAGATTCAGAAAATCGCGTGATGCCTGTTGTCACAATATTGATCATGTGTGCAACTGCTGATCTGTTGGTAACTTCTGCTACCATCCATGATGAACTGCATTTCTAATGTCGTACTGTTTGTGTTAGCACTTCCGATGGATACCGTATGCTTTAAATGAGTGTGTATGCTAGTGCATATGCTGAGACAGCAGTCTGTCAATCTTTCCACAAGGGACTGTGATAAACATTCTGTGTGTTTTTTGTTGGCACAGGAGCGGAGCAACTATGGGGTGATCTGTTTGCTATGAAGCTGAAACTAAGACTATCAGATTACCAATGATGATTGGTCTATAAAATATAAGTCTAGCCTCATTTGCCTAATACACCTAAAGGAGTGGAAGAAGTATTGTACTGATTTCCTGGCAATGCTAGTCCATACTGTAATGTTTTTTGTTGTTGTTGTTGTCCAGGGCTTCTTGTGATTACCCTTTTATTGTTGAATAGTTTTCAAAACTTGCTGCAGTGTCATCTTTATCAAGATAATTTTTCTTATCAATAATCTTTACATATAATAGACAGGATGTATTTACACGTTTTCTTTCACTTCGTCATCTTGCTACCATTCAACCTGACGTTGCTTGTTTCATCTAAAATAAAAAAAAGATATGGGGGTCATGGATAAAGTGAGTAAGAGATTCATGTCCATGCCTTGCAGATGTTAAAAAGGACCATTTCCCACGCCTTCGTGCATATATGGATAGATCTGTATTTTGTAGATCATTCGGCACTCGGTGGGTGATGTGGTCAATATCACGCTGGCCATATTTACTAACTAGGACTTCACCTGGTGCCCATTTAAGGCTGGGTCCACCTGGGAGACAATGTCATTTTTTTAAAAAATGTCCATCTACATTACTACCTGAAGCCACAGCCTTCAGATCTGCAGGCCATCCACTTGCATATGAATAATTGGCACTCAAGAGGTGATGTTGATAATAATGACACCAGCCACATTTACTTCCCAAGACATTTCCTGGTACCTCAATGGGGCTCCCAGGTTGACCTGACTTTACATGTATACCAGTCCTGGGAAGTAAAGGCGGCTGGCATGATTTTGATCACATCACCCACTGAAAGCTGATTGGTCTATAAAATATTGATCTGTCACTTTCTGCCCAGTACACCTAAAGTTAGGGAAAATTGTCCCCTTTTTTTAAAATATATACACAAACCCACAAATCTACATAATTTCAGCCCTCAGATTTATATGATGAAGATGAGGCAGGTTCAGATGACAGCTCGGGCCAGGAGAAGCCAGCTGACAATGCTGAATATGTGCGTGAGGACGGCAGCAAAAATGTGAAGTCTCTGAAACTTGAAGAGGAGAAAACAGCTTCAGAAAAGTATCAAGAAAGAGAGAAGTCAATAAATGCAGTGGCTATAAAAGAACTTTTCGTCAGGGGCATGATTAAGAGAAAAGCATGGAACACAGTCCAAGCTTGCCACATTGCGGGATCCACAGATGAAAGGTGTACAATTGCATTGTCTCATATACGCAAGGTAATATATGTTTGTTGATTGTGTACTCTGGAAAATTTCTGTATGGAGATGTGGGAACGTAACCTGTTAGTATGTTTGTAGATTTTTTTTCTTAGCTCATGCAAAGTGGGAAGGCAGTTTTTTCGGAGTGATATTTCTCAGTCTTAAATATGGTAACTTCTGGAGATAATAAAAGATGAGTCACCAGTGAAGAATTCAGAACAATAGTGGGTACAGTACCACTGACTGATTTTATAGAAGATGAAAGAATCAAATGGTTCAGTCATCTGGTCAGAATGGAACAAAATCAACCAGCAGCTACATGAAAACAACAGGCTGCAAGGCAAGAGGCTGACCAAGAAAGAGATGGGTGGAGGAAGTAAAAGTAACTACAGTAATGCAGTTTGACATTAATGCAAACTACACAGTTAGCAAAAGACAGCAACTCATAACTCCTCTCTACAGTCTTTGCAGCATAAGCAGTAGGACAGCAGAAGAAGAATTTCTACCAAATGTTTTATTGTGTGACTGTATTATGCTAATATCTTCTCTCTAAGTAACCATTTGTAACATTAGCACAGTTTTACATAACATGAAACTGACACCTGACTTTAACAGTATTAAAACACTTCATTAAATGTGGGAACAAATCAAATGTGGGATTGAATGTTCTGAAATTCATATTTGAGAATGTTTTGCATACTTTTTGGGGAATAAAACACACACACACACACACCAGATGTTGATGAAATCACATATTGAAAACATGTTAATAAAACTGTAATTGTTGGATGAGTACTGAATAAAAATGATATGACATAAACCAGTATTTTTCCAATCAAAAACTGCATGAGAGAATGTCATTAAAGTACTTTTGTATTACATTATTATTGTTATTATTATTGTTTCTGTTATTATTATTATTATGTGCTAAATGGCAAATAGATACAATAAAATATTTGAAAGAATATGAAATGTATTAACATATATTTAAAAAAAAAAAACTATACATGTTTAGATGAGGGTATGTTGGGCATTTAGCCCTCTTGCAAATTTTTTCAAAAGAAGAAGACAGTAATGAGGTTTGGGTAGAGGTTTTGGTGCATTCTTTTATGAATAATTTTCTCACTTTTAATTGTTTTCCAGGGCAGATAGAGAAAAAAAAAAATGATTAGTGCATGTTAAAACTTAACTTTCAATTTATCAAATGTTAAATATCTAAAGTTAAACTGCACACCAGTTTTAATGACATCCTTGGCTTATTATTTGTTTGTCTTAGTCTTGTGTGTTTCATTTCCTCAGGGCTTGAACATTGTAGACAAAGACATGTCTAAGGGCAAGAATATTGGCTTGGTGGAAACTCAGAGAACATGTAGTCCCTCCAAGGCTATCCCTTTGCACTATGCTCCACTGGGCAAGAAAAGAGGGGAAAGAGAGGAGAGACCTAAGGAACAAGAAGGCCCTCAGAGATGCAACCCATTTACACCAATACCTTTACACTATGCTTCCCTGAACAAATCAAAGGAAAGCTCAGTAGATGCCGCATCCAGTGATACATCAGATGGTAACCGGACAGGTAAAATCTCTCCAGTAAGTCATTCAGAGATGCCTGGCTTAGGTGCAGACTACAACACCAGTGAAGGATTTGCCGGTTATCCAAGCACCACAGAGGATGAAGATGTCTCACAGTCCTGGCATTTTGAGGCTAAGTTTCAGCTGTTGAAGAAGGCAGCCATTATTTACTTTGTCCTGGCCAAGGAGTTTTATGAGATCAAGAAATATGGTCATACACTGAGACACCTACGATATGCAGTACATTGCTATGGTGAGTGTTTTCTGTTGCACATTTTGCATGTATTTCCAAACATTCTATTAAATATCATATTGTAATAAAAGGTTAAGAATGTGTTGATTTACCCACCTCTGTGTTAGCAAGCACAGTCTATCATGTATGTAATATTGTAAGTGTCATTTGTCAATCTTCGTTGTCATAAAGGGCTTTGCCTACTGGTATGGGTGATCATACCTTTCCGCAACTTGCTATCTTCTACAGCATGCATCACTATTGCTAACACCTCTCTATGCTGTCAAGATGTGTCTGTTTTAGTCAAGAAATGCCCATCTTAGTGTCCTCATTATTGGTGCACCTGTGTTTGTTTAGTACATCAACTCTTACATTGCCTCAGACCCTTTGCACAGGGCAGCACAGTATTTTTGTCTAAAGTTATAGAGAAATATTATAATTATGCAGCAATCATTCAGACTAATGTTGAATTAATAATGTTCAATTATTAATCGACATCACAGCCCTCAGGACTCTCCCATAAGTGCTCAGTCTCCATCTTCAGCAGTGAGCGAAGTGTTTCAATTCCGATGGTACCAGTAACAGCCTGATTGTATATCCGTGTCATCCTTCCCTTGAGTTCATCCAGACTAAAACCACACACCTTGTACATTCAGAAACAAAAAGGAAAATGAAGGTAATTTGGGTCTGTGAGGAGACTCCTCTGCAGTCCAAGAGCTACTGTGGCCGGCTCTATTCTCACACTGCAAAATTGTTACATGTGTGGCAGTATATTCTGTCATGACCTGTCATTAAAATGTAGCTAATTTTAGTAAAGATCTTCTGCTGTGAAGGACAGAACAATATTGTACCATATTTCCCTAAGTAAAAAAAAAAAAAAAAAACCATCCCTTGTATAAGGCGCACCTTGATTTTTATAAAGTTATTAAACATTTTAATCATCATAGAATCCAGAAAACTCCTCACTATCAAAACTCTCATCCATATGATAGCTCTGTAGCCTATCCTTGACTGTCTTGCTTTAAACCAGATGTTATTGAAAAGGGTCGGCTGTTTTTATATAATGTGTTAATCATTCACAGAGGCTATGCAACTGCTGAAAAGGGATTCTAAAGAAAAGCATGAAAATGAGGAACTATTTTTGATGTTGTTGTACCTTGCTGCCAAGACACGGTTCTCCATGCACACCAACTGGCAGTCCTGTCACAAAGACTTCGAGGAGCTTGGGGAAGAAGAGGCAGCCATCCTGCACTCAGCTCAGTCACTGGTGACCACACCAAGTGGGTACACATTTTGTTACATTTAACCTCATTGCATTGCATATGGTAAAAGTATTTAAAAGACCATTAGTGCATCAAGAATTTGGGCATAGATGCATATTTATTTTTCATATAGATCAGCCAGCCCTCTATGGGTTATGTGGTCATTCTGCAAGCTACCTTTAACTCCCAAACAGGTACATATCATGAACATGCCCGCAAGGTTTCGTGTCGGCTCCTACTCATGCCGTGGCCATTCCTATTGGCTATCCTATGTTCTAGCAGTATTATTAGCATATGCCTCATTCCAGTTCATTGCCTATACACACCTTGCGGAAAACCGGCTCCCATTCGTTCGAGGCCCAATGTGACAAAAATCTGCAGCTCTCTTTCATGGCAGGCATCACTGAGCGACCGGGTTTTTCTCCCCCCCCCCCCCCCCCACCCCTTGTTTTTGCTTCTGTGCGTAGGTGAGTGTTTAACTATTTTTCTTTCCTCTGTCAGCTATGTTTTTCTTGTGCAGCCATCACTGGTTTGATAATTAGTGACATTCTGAGGCAGTAACTGAAAAAGGGCCATTGGGGGTAGTGGATCCTAAAAAGGGCTGACAGTTTGGATGTACCGTATACTGGTTGGTGACCCGGAAGTTGATAGGCCTACAGTTTTGCAGCGTTAGTAGATCTGAGGATGTCATCTAATACAACAACTCACTGAGAGAACTGATGTGGTGATTCACCAGCCCATTAAGGGCCAGTGCACAATGCTGTAAAACACATAGTGCTGGCCGCTCACAACGCAGAATATAGACTGCTTACAGTGTTGAAAAAAGCACAACACGACACCCCTAGAAAATAGAACAGCCTGTGGAAACAGCCACGGCATGAATTGGAGCCGACACTAAATCTCGGGCCTGGCAAGATGCGAGCATGTTTGTGATATGTATCCCCCAAACATTTTCTGGTACATATTGTAGGCTTGGTTGACCTAAGATCCGAGGTCATTTTTAAAAACTCTGCTTTGATATGGATATGAACCTCATGCCTTCGGACAGGCAGATAAGCATCTAACCATTAACACTGCATGTAGTGAAAATAATACTTGATAATGATAAATATAGTGAAAATAAGCGAGAGATAACAGGTTTACATCCATGAAGATGAGCAGTTTTCGATTATGCTTGATTAAAATGTATGCTCATTCATGACATCTGGTACTTTCATATTATATCATTTGAAACAGCTACTTGAGTTAGGTGTTAATCACATTCAAAATCTTTACATCAAAGTTAGCCTAAACAGTCCCATAGAACTAGTACAAATTCTAGTATACACTGATGATAATATTGTTTTTTCCTGACGGTATTCTGGTTTCTTCTTCTCAAAGACCATGGTATGTGGTGATGGTAGTTATGTCTATCCATAACATTCTGTCTCGTGTACTTTCAGTCAACTCTGATACAGATGGTCCTCCCTGCCATGATGTCAGACTGTCCAACATCTGTTCTCTCAGTGTCCCTATGCCTCTCCTGCCCTTCAACTTTCCCCCTGTCACAATGTATTCAAGTTTTCTCCTTCTCATCACATGACCAAAATAAGTAGATTGTCCTTTTCTGATGTTGGCAATCAGTTCACTCCATGAGTCAGCTTCTTTCAAGACATCTTCATTACTCTTTTGATCTGTCCAGTGTATATTCTCACCATTTTTGTCTATAAAACCACAAGCACCATAGCTTCCGAATAATGTTTCACTAATCTATCAGCTGTCCATAATTCACTTCCGTATATCAGTATAAGATTTATAGAGCTTTTCAGAATTCTCTTTCTCCTCTCACTTGACAAAAAAAGATTGCATGAAGTATTCTTCATTGTGTAAAATGATGCCTTGAGTGTTATTTCAGTACATATTTTAATAAACAGGTGGTCAGCTCGCGAGGCCGCAAAAAACATAAAAACAGATTGGCTGGTATTGAATGAGACTCAAAAAAAGAAGAGACAAGAGAAAACACTAAACAACATAAACACCGAAAACTGTAGTTGCCATGCCAGATAGTGCGTCTGACTAGCTTGACTTGGTCCCTTATTATATATATGTTTTTTTTCATTCATCATCATCATCAAGTGCCTTGCCATCTGGCATAGGCATTCATGCGTCTCCTCAGATCTCGGTTTATGGTGTTCTGGATCAATTCCATTCATTATATTTCTCGATGCTACTGTCTTAAGCCATCCACCATCATTTCTCGGCCATCCTCTGAATAACGGTCCCAAATTATCGAGGCTAAGAAAATACTCTAACAGGGCCTCAATCGTGTGTAAATTGCGGACGTCTTTCCGGCGAATATACCGCATACCGCAGGAAACACTCCTCCAAATAATAGTCCCAAATTATCGAGGGTGTCAACTGCTCCGACACTGAAACCTTGGTTTAACTCCTTCCCTGGGTTCTAGGTTTAACTTCTCCCCTGGGTCCTAGGGTTAAGGTTAGGATTAGAGTTAGGGTAAGGAGTATTGCAATTATGACAGTGCCACCAGAATTTGTCACAACAGTGGAACCGAGCCACACTATCGATTGAAGGGATGGAACTCATGGCGGCACTAGTCACGCGTTGTTTACTGAATATTTAGCGCAGTTTCCTGGCTGCACAGTCGCAAACATTGAGGCCTTGTTAGAGTATTTTTTTAGCCTCAATAATTTGGGACCAATATTTTGAGAAAAGCCCACTTTCTCTTGATCTGCCTCTGCCTCCTCTACCTGTGATCTTTCAATTTGTCACAATATTTTCCAGTGAGCCTATTCTCATCACATGACCAAAGAACTTTGTCTCCTTCCCATTGTTGTGTATAATGTTCTACTTTCATTAGCCATTTCCAGGCAACGATTATTAGTTATTCTGACAGTCTACGGTATTCGCAACATTCTTCTCAAGAATCATTTTGCATTCAGGTAACCTTAATCTCCTCTAAAATATCTGAGTTAAGAACTGAAATGGCAGCGCTCAGGACATTCTGATGATTTTGGACAGCCAAAAATAAAAAAAAAGCAGCTCTGACATTTTTAAAGAGGCAGAGACTTGAAGACGATTTATCGCGAGCATAAGAAGGAGACCGTCATCCTTTTGTGGTCATGTTATGAGAAGAAGGAAACTGGGACATGGACTGATGGAAAGAAATACGGAAAAAGAGACAGAAGAAGACAATGCGAGATTGTTCTTGAAATTCTTTTGTTATGGCATGGAGGGGTGTCAGCAAACAAACTCATACATGATATTGAAGGTCACAGATTGTGGAGAGGTATGATCACCCACACCAGTCAGCAAGACACTTGGTGATGATAGTTTCAGTACAGGGAATCAAACCTATCTCCTCCCAATGACAACAGCACCTCACTGCAAGAACACGACCAACTTGACACCCATCTGTCTCTCTATGTGATCATCATGGAAAACATATACAACTAATACCATTTATAAATAGTTAGGAATCAAAAGACATGCTAGGCAGCAGCGGTATTGTAACTGACAGGTCTTCTTTCTAGTACTGGAATACCTTTAGAGTCGGAGTGCATCTGCCTGAGAGGCGAGAAATTAGCATATGCATACAAATGAGGCAGACCTGTGAAACGGATGTCCATTCACAACTTATGTTCTGGAACAAGACTAAGTCCAGTAGTGGACGAACAACCAGAACTTTCCATCGAATTAAACAGTCGGTGAACTTCAAAAAAGAAAGAAGTAATACCCGACTTTAATGTGTCCCTGTCAGTATATGTTGTTCATCAATTTAAAAAAAAAAATGAAAATGTCATATGGACAATTAAATAAGAAAACTATAATTTTGTTTTCCAGTTTATATGTATAAATGTGTTAAGAAATTTCTTGTGACTGTTAAATTATCGTCTTTTTATTTATCCTATTGACCAACTGTGTTGTGCCTGTTTACAGCATAGCTGTGATATTTGCGCTTTTTGACCAACACATCCAACTTCATCGAGCATTTGTTGCCTGGGTTAACTTCCTGGCTATTAATGTATTGAATAAGAGAGTTGATTGTCAGTTATTTGTGATGATTAATTAGATGATGATGTTACTGTTTTTACTTTATTCTGAAGGAAATGCCTGGATTTACGAGTGGCCCAACAACAAGGAATCAAATCTCCTTGCAGCCAGTGAGGCTTATCAACAAGCCTTCAAATTGCCAATCCTTAAGAAGAAACCACAGTCTTTCTATCTTCTGATGAAGAAAAACTATGCAGCTTGCATTATGACTTTGGGCTACACACAGCTGGAGATCTGTAAAGAGAAAGTCTGCAGTAAGTATAGAGGATAGTGGTGATACATCCACCTCTTATCTGTACTAAAAGGATTTGAAAGTTACATAGAATTTTATTTATTATTATTAGTGTTTACATCTTCATTAAAGGCCATATGACGAGGCTGTGTGAGAACAGTTCCAAAAGCAATTGATAGGTCAGTGGCCGGGGGCAGAAAGAGTGGATGAGACTTCATTGCGAATGTATGGGGAAGAAGGATGACTAAAGAAAGCTTGGCATATGACATTACCACATTCAGCATGAGAATGGAGGTTGAGGTGGTGACTGCCACAATCAGATAGGTGAAGAAAATCTCAGCCACACATATTGTCATCGTATCACCAACCATAAACCATAAACCAACTATCAACCAACTACCCACCAGCTAACACCTGTGAAGGTTTCTGACATTATCACTATGTGGGGGCAGATAACCCAAACAGCCTACCAGAGCAAGAGCTTGGTGTAGCTCAGAGACACTGGTGTGACCTAATTGGTGGGAGAGACTTGCTGAGTACCGGTACAGTTGCTGTGTCCTCTATGGTGAAGTACTCTTTCACTACCTGATCCAGTTGAGCAGAATTACCAGAGTCAAAGACAGTCAAATCATCAGGAGCTGAGGGAAGCATCATCGACGGAAAGAGGAGAAGCTAAGTTGATGCCTTATGTGCTTTATTCCTCACAGCTACTATGTTTCCCAAGGATGAGATAGTGTCATCTCCAAGACCTGCTGTCTGTGTAGTATATTTGTGATCTGGACATGATACCCTGAGATCTATCCTAGGAGATCTGGCATCTGTTTCACTATTATATATATATGTCATCTTGATTACATGCATTCATTTTCATGGCTGACTTAGGTGTCTCTATTTCACCTTTTTAAGTGTTTAGAAGTTGTGTGTGTATGTATCTTCATTATATGTGTTAACATGGTTATGATAATGAACTATCGTAACCTGGGGGCTTTCTTTAGTAAGTAGTGGGGGTGTCCAACCAAGTGTGCCTAGGAATATTGTATTCATATACTGATATATTTTGTAGTGCCAATACTTGAGTTGCCCTACTCCAGAAATAAGTTGAGCGTATATTGGCCACGGGGAATCCCTTAGACCAATACGAGCCAAACGACTCAACATAATTATTTCTGAGTGCTGTTGGTTCTGAAGGAGAAATCCTTACATCAGGCACGTGACAGGAGTGATATGTGACAGCCTCTAAATATTCAGTGTCAGCCAAATCTCTCATTGCCTCTAAATATTCAGTGTCAGCCAAATCTCTCATTGCCTCTAAATATTCAGTGTCAGCCAAATCTCTCATTGCCTCTAAATATTCAGTGTCAGCCAAATCTCTCATTGCCTCTAAATATTCAGTGTCAGCCAAATCTCCCGTTGCCTCTAAATATTCAGTGTCAGCCAAATCTCTCATTGCCTCTAAATATTCAGTGTCGGCCAAATCTCTTGGTCATTTCCTGCTGCACCATTCTTTTCTGACTGTGATGATCCATTTGTGTCCAAAATGTTCACTGATTGTCAAAACGAGCTGACCACATCGGCTTGCCATGCATCATTTTACCACTAAGCGATGCAGAACAAGTCTGCCTGTTATTTCCCAACACCTGAATACCCTTGAGAAAATATCCAAAGAACTCTGACTATCTGGGATTTCTGAGATAAATATTGCCAATTTGCACAAAGCATACCTGCCCCTACCTTTTCAGCATGTTTTGTGAGAAACAGCACACACTTATCCTTTGATCCCGCCATTGTTGGAAGCATTTCAAGGGCTCTTTGAGAACAAAGTGCAGGTCAATAGCTGTAGTCCACATGTTATGTTCTCATGATTCAGATCTCATTCAATGGTATTTTAAGCGCAGGAAACAGTTAAAAAAAAATTATTGCAGACGTCTTCGTAGAGTAAGAATTACAAGAGTGATCTGTTTGGGCAAAATATGCTGACCGCAGGCAGGGAAAAAAAAAATCAAGACATTCCCTGGCATCCTTCCCACCTGAAGATATCTCCCATGCTTTGTTTATTTCAGTGGGAAACAAAATTAAGGCTGTGAAATTTTTGTCAACAAAACTCCTATGTGAAATCCTCAGTTTTTTTTAACTTTTAATATAGCATCTTCTTCTTCTTGATCTTCTTCCCTTCCCTAAGTGTCTTCACCATAGAGTTGGGGGGAAATATGTAAGGGATCTTCTGTGAGCTCTATCCAGTGTCTTGTGTAAGTTGATCTTTCTTTTAAGGCTGTTGTTGATTGCCATTGTTCCATATTCTGTGTGGTCTTTCCCCTTGCTTTGCATCCATTTAATTTTTTTAGCATGGCTGTCTGTGGCAATTATTACCAGGGCATTCTCATCAGATGGCCAGACCATCTCATTTGTTGCTCTTTAATAAACTGTAAGACTGTTTTCAGTCCTCGTCACCATCTGATTTTTTTGATTTTGTTTTAGATCTCTTGTTATTTCAGGAGCTCTTCTAAGACATCTGATCTCTATTTTTATGATTTTGCGCTCATTGGTTTTAGTAGGAGTCCGTGTTTGACACCGGTTGCATACATTTTGCCAAATAATAAATTCATTGCTAATTTTTGTTTCTTGTCAGAGAAGGACAGTTTTGCAACCATCCAGCCAGTGTGGAATAAAAGCCTAGTGAACTTCCAAAAAGCCATCAAAATGTTTGAAAAATTTGGCGACAAGAACACAGCCGGACACAATTGTGTGAATGTGGCCTACTTGTATGTGTTAGCTGCAGCAGCCGTTGTTAACGACTCACCGTCTGATTTGTTTCCTGCACAAGAGAAGGAATATTTATCAAAGGTAGTTTTTATTGGCTATTGCCCTATGTTTGTCCTAGAAAAATAGAAATTTTGAACTTAAATATTACTGATAAATTCCTGGACTGCCATTAATTCTTTTTATGCCATTTGGCAGTAGTAGTCCTGTCTCTCCTCAACCTTCTGCTTCTGACACATATCTTCTTCTTCTTCGCGTTCACCAGCTGTAAACTCTGGCGGAAGGTTCTGGTTGCTCGTCCACTACTGAACTGCAATCCTGCTCCAGAACCTGAGTGTTGCGTCTGCATCAATTTTACAGATCTCATTCTCTTGAATACAGACTGTTGGTTCCTTGCCTCTCCGGCAGATGCACTCCGACTTCAAAGGAAGCTCCCCAATTAGTCGACTCTTACGACATGCTTTTGGGGAGGCAGTGGGTCTATTCTTGTTTTCCCCACAATGGGGCCCCGGAACCCACACGGGGGTCTGACACATATATTTTCCAATGCCATGCTGTTAAACTCTCCGACATCTTTTTGTGTGTGTCTTCCTTTTACCCTCTTCCTTTAACCATCTTCCCCTCTAACTGTCCCATTGTCACAATGTGCTCCACTTTTCTCCTTATGGTGGGGCCAAAGAATGTAGATTGTCTCCTGATGTGGGTACTCAGTTCCTTTCATAAGTTTTTTCTTGGGAAAAAACTTCATTACTCTTTTTATTTGTCCAAGGTGTTGCCATCGTTCATCTTTAAAACCTTACCTCTGCCACATGCACAACTTTTTTTCACTAATTGACTTACTGTCCATGATTCGCTAACATCTATCAGGGTTGGAACAATATACATCTGTTAAAAATACTCTTCTTCACCTCAGTTGACACAGAAAGATTGCATAGAATAGCCGTGGAAGTAGAAAGAAGAAAATGTATTTTCCTTCTTCTGCAATCACCCTTAAAATAAAGTGTTTAGCACATGCTGTGGTTTACAGCTAAGCTGCAATATCTGCACCTTTCGACCCAAGACATCTTGTTTCAGCAAACTACTAATTTGTTGTTTTGAACAGTGTCTTTGTTAGAAGGCTTAGAAGCTGTTCTTTCTTCCTCAAAAATTGAGCACAGAAATTTACACAGGAAAGCAGACTGACATTCTATAAGATTTTAAAATTAAAGAGAACTGGCACATTATGATTAGGAAGGAGAATCACATTGGCAATATTAAATGCAGCAACATAAAAAGTAAAGGACCCTTTTCCACGCCTTTAGGGCTAGACCTATATTTTTATAGACCAATCGGGCCAAGATGGGTGATATGGTCAGCATCACGCTGGCCACCTTTACTTCCTGGGACTGCACCCGGTACCCACTCAAGGCTGGGTAGACCTGGGAGCCAAGTTCATTTGGGAGCGAACCAACGACTTCCGATCAGCGACAAGCGTCTAGCCGCTCCGCCACGGCGACTCCCAATGCAGCAAGGATAAGCCTGGAAGCATATGTGGCTTAGAGATAGGTAAACGTGTTTCACAATCCTTAGCCGCTTATTAGAGTTCAGTTTCCATGTCAAGCAGTTTAGAATACTGTTAGAATAGCTATCTGACAGTGGTACTGTTGCCTTGTTGAGAGGTTGGGATCTTACCCTGTGATATTAAATTACATTTACCACTCAAATAAGGCCAAATCATGTCCCACAAAACCAAATGGGAAGGCTGACCTGGTAAACAAATGCCCAATAATTGTTTATTTTATAACGATTTACCAAGCAATATGTATCTTAAGAAAAGTATTCATTAAGAAATGTGTATCTTATGATAAGTATTCACCAAGATATATATATATATATATATATATATCGTGATAAGCATTCACTAAAAAATTATGTCTTATAAGAATTCACTCAAAAATATGTATCTTTTTATAAGGTTTCATTGAGAAATGTGCATTTTATAAAAATTCACTCAGAAATGTTCTTCTTATGAAAAGTATTCTTCTTTGCGTTCACTGGCTTTAAACTCTGTCGGAAAGTTATGTTTATGTGTCCACCTCTACACTTAAGTCTTGTTTCAGAACCTGAGTGTTGCATGCACATCCGTTAAACAGATCTGACTTAATTGTATGCAGATTGTTGGTTCCTTGCCTCTGAGGCAGATGCACTTCAACTTTGAAGGAAGCTCCCAATTTCTCGACTCTTACGACATGCTGGTTGGGGAGGCAGTGGGTCTATTATTGTTTTCCCCACAATGGGACCCCAAAACCCACAAGGGGATGATGAGTATTGACTAAGAAAACTTTGTGTTATACGTTTTCACTACGAATTATGTATCTTATGGTCAGCACTAACAATATCCTTTCTTCTGTGAGTAAACCAGTAAGTGGACACTCCCAAACATATTTTTGTGTGAATTGGTAATGATACCATTTTCCTGTGTTTAATGATGTTCTGCAGGTGGTTGAGTGGTACGAGAAGGGGCTCAGCAAATATGAAAAGGGTGAGAAGAATGATTCCTACAGGGAGACAATCAACCACAACTTGAGGATGCACTACCACCAGCTGGCACAGCGCTATTTCACTTTGCCCACTGGCATGATCACGGAGCAAGTGAGTCTGTCACTACTTTGTTTAGTGTTGAAGCATTTGCATATGTTTTCTGTGTGTGTGTACGAACGAACAAACAAATTTTGTTTTCAGAGGGTCACAAATCGGGCATGCAGGATAGATAGGTCTTACATTCGGCCCTTCCATACTCCCATCTTTCACACAGCAGTTGTATTTTATTAATAAAGCATATTATGTTCATATAATAATATGCAGATTATTCATATCAAGAATAAACACAAAAGCATGCAAGGTAAAATGCATGCGCACACTCACGCTTGCACACAAATACCCACCCACTCGCTCGTGTACACACACATACGTACCCATACTCATACATACTGATCCAATACATACGCACATATGTTCACACACATGCATGCATGCATACAGACACTCACATGCACACACATAGACTGACATACACAGATAGGCATATACACAGTTGCACGCACACACACACACAGACATACACACAAACATATGCAAAGACACACACACATACACACACACATGCATATAAACAGACACACACATGCACACAGTGTGTGAAAATCCATGTGCATTAAGTTATACATGCTTTATTGTTTAAGAATGCCACTGCATCGGGTTGTACATGATTTATTGTTTGAGAATCCCTGTGCATCAGGTGTACGCTACTGCACATGGTTTATTGTTTGAGAATACCAGTGTATCAGGTTATACATGCTTTATTGTTTGAGGATCCCAGTGCGTCGAGATGTACACATGTGTACATGCTTCATTGTTTGAGAATACCAGTGCATTTATTAATTTGTACTGTTTTACATGGTTTATTGTTGTACATGGCTTATTGTTTAAGAAACCTGGTGCATCAGTTTGTACACTGTTGTATATGGCTTATTGTTTAAGAAACCTGGTCACACAATTTGTACACTGTTGTACATGGCTTATTGTTTAAGGATCTCATTGGATCAAGTTGTACACTGTTGTACATGGCTTATTGTTTGAGGATCTCATTGCATCAAGTTGTACACTGTTGTATATGGTTTATTTTTTGAGGATCTCATTGCATCAAGTTTTACACTATTGATTTTTTTTTATTGTTTGAGGAACTCATTGCATCAAGTTGTACACTGTTGTACATGGCTTATTGTTTAAGGATCTCATTGGATCAAGTTGTACACTGTTGTACATGGCTTATTGTTTGGGGATCTCATTGCATCAAGTTGTACACTGTTGTACATGGCTTATTGTTTGAGGATCTCATTGGATCAAGTTGTACACTGTTGTACATGGCTTATTGTTTGGGGATCTCATTGCATCAAGTTGTACACTTTTGTACATGGCTTATTGTTTGAGGATCTCATTGCATCAAGTTGTACACTGTTGTACATGGCTTATTGTTTAAGGATCTCATTGCATCAAGTAATACACCGTTGTATATGGTTTATTATTTGAGGATCTCATTGCATCAAGTTATACACCGTTGTATATGGTTTATTTTTTGAGGATCTCATTGCATCAAGTTGTACACTGTTGAATATGGTTTTATTTTTTTGAGGATCCTAGTGCATCTGGTTGTAAACAGGCCTACATGGTTTATTGTTGAGAATCATGGTGTATCAAGCTGTACACTGTTTTATATGGTTTATTGTTTGAGGATCCTAGGGCATCTGGTTGTAAACAGGCATATGTGGTTTATTGTTTGAGAATCATGGTGCATCCGGTTGTACATTGTTTTATTTGCTTCATTGTTTGAGGATTCTGGTGCATCAGATTGTACACTGTTGTACATGGTTTATTGTTTTAGGATCCCAGTTCAAGTTGTTCACTATTGTATAAACTAACTGAATCAGAAATAGGTGACAGTATGGTTTATTCTATAGGATATACATTCTGAGTTTTCTCTGCAGCTCTCCATACAAGATTTGAATGTTTGCAATTAGCCATCATGTGGAGGTTGGCTGTAACTCTTGCATTCTTTCTGTTGTAATCTTATCAAAGGAGTGACTGACCTGGTAGCTAGATTGCTGGGCATCTTATAAGAGGCCAGGTTTGAAATCTTTTGTTAAGTATGGCATTTTTTTATGTCTGATCTAAAAATATCCTAACCTGCAAAATTCTTAGTGACTGTTCTAAATCGCAGGACCCCCTCCCCTCTACCCCGTGCCATCCACTGCTGGTCTTTCCAACAGTGTTTGACATGATCGAAATATTTCAGTTCCGAGACAAGATACTGTTTACAAGACAATTTTCCTTGATATTTGGGTTATTTAAGATACAAGTATTGATATGTATGCGTGGGTTCATGGTAATATAAGAATCTTTCTGTAGCCTTTCAGCTCAGAAACACGTATTTTCTTTATAATTATTGCAAACGAGTCCATGACTCATATCTGTTATGTTTAATTCACATAGATTTAGTCACACTAATACCTATAAAAGCAATATTCTTGTGGTTTGGTTGTCATCATTACCATGCACCAACTGACATGATATTTCTGTGTTTGCTTTAATTGACAGGATCTTCGCTGTATAAAGGATCTGCTACAGAAGTCACTGTCCTACTGTTTCACAGATCTCCGTGAGAAACACTTGAAGCAGAGTCAGATTTGCGCAGCCAACAACCACCTGAACCTGGCCAGAGTCTTCGATGTTGAGGCAGCTAGTTGTGTATGTTTGAAAGATTGTTTTTCATTTCTATAAGTGATTACTGTCTGTATTAACCAGCTTTTTAGGATGATGTGGAAAGAAAGGTCTTGAGATTTAGATTTCCCAGTTATTAGGCAAGTTGAAAAAAAAAAAAAGTAAGTCCAGTTTTGACCGCATTGACAAACACCAATGGAAAACGTAAATATGCAAATGTAGTATGTTTATAAAGCAACAGAGATGTGGTTTCTGAGACAAATGTTATGAATATCTTGGACGGCCAGAGTAGCTAACAATGATTACTTGAAAGAAGCTAATGAAAGCAGATCTCTATATACAACAATAAGAAAGAGAGAAACACTGTTCTTTGGCCACATAATGAAAAGAGAGACATTGGAGAACATCCTGACAGCTCGAAAGATTAGTGGGAAAAGGGGTAGAGGCCGACCAAGAGAGATGATGCTAGATGGGCTGAAACAATGGCATGGAGAGATATGATCAAGAGAGCTGTTCCAGGCAACCAAGGATCGTGATCTGTGGAGACACATGAGCGCCTACGCCAGTTGGCAGGGCACATGATGATGATGAGTATGTTTATATGGTTCATTAGCAAGCTGTGTGCTAGTATTTTGTCCACTGTCAAAATCTTGTTTGATGCTGCACGTAAGTGCTTTATAATCAGTGCAAAAATAAATACTACTGCCAGCTGCAAGGTTTGTCCTGTGATCCATTTTTTGTTTTTTAAAGAAAAAAAAACAATAGTGCTGCCGAAATTGATTGAGGTTTATGGGCCAGATGTTATGACTGATAGTATGGTTAGGAAATGATGTCGAATGTTTAAAGAAGAACGAACAAATATCCATGATGAAGATTGTAGCGGTCAGCCGAGTGTGGTGACAGGCGATTTGGTCAAAGAAGTGAACCAAAAATCAGGAAGATCGTCGTTTCACAATTTCTGCGTTGTTTGTGGAATTTTCACTGATTTAAGAGACAAGAAACCTTAAATAAAAAATAAAAATTGTGTCCCATCAAAAACAAAAAGATGTGGGTTGCTGTCCTCTGGAATTTTCTTTTGCACAATAGTGCTTGACATCACCTCGCAGATGGAACTGTTCAATTGTTGCTAAAATTTCACTAGGAAATTGTTGGCCAAACGCCCTACAGCCCCGATCTGGCGCCCTGTACAGCTGACAGTGAGTCAGTGAGAAAAACTATCCTGCCTGCGGTGAGTTGTGATCTGTTTTGCTTAATGAGAGTTTTGACTTCTGGAAAAGATAGCGGCTGGTAGGTCTATAGTTTGTTACTGCCTTGGCTAAAGCATCTGCGCTTTCATTGCCTTTGATGCCGCAGTGAGACGGAATCCACTGCAAGTGAATTTCTGCCTTATTTGACAACATAGCAACCACCTTTTCATGCACCTAAAAATGTAGCTGTCATCCCAGCAGCTTGAAACTGATGATGATCTGCAGACAGGCATTAATGAATGGTTCAAGACTTCTATGACATTGGAATTAAAAACCTAGGGCCACGATACTAAAAATGTGTTGAAGTCAATGGTGACTTATTTTTTATAAATTATTTAAATGTGTGGTTCACTTTGGCTGCAATAAATCATTTTTATTCATGACAGCTTTTTTTAAAAAAATTTGAAAGCAGGACTTGCTTCAAAAACGCACCTGTCTATAGTACCACGCTCATTTTTATAATGCATCTGGCAGTCATCCTCCTCTTAACCGTATCCCTGCCTATGCAGGACTGTGGGTTTACACCTGGCTTGGGTAGCGATTATGTGTGCCGTAATTATAACTTCTTTGGAGGTTGAACAGGATATATCTGGAATCTGATTGATCTGCTATCAAGATGGATATTACATTTTTAACTCTCTGGGTGGTAAATCTTCAGGTAGCAGCCCAGAGGGCACAAACCAGTTGATCGATAGCGTTCTCTCGGTCCTTACCAGCCACTGTTTGGAAGAGAAGTGCATCACCCTTTATTCTATAACACAGCAAATGGCATAAAAACCCTCCCATGCCTTCCTTCTGTTGGGTGATCAGTCAGCATTCATAGTACCCACTTTCTGATGTTGCAGTTTCTTACGAATAACATTTTGAACTGTCCCAACTGATACATTAAATTCTTTTGCTAGTGAACTTGTGCTTCAGCAACAGTTCCTTTTGGCCATGGTTTTGTGTGTGCCTAGTCTGTTAGTTTTGTCTTCGACACACATTTCTACCATAAGCTGCCTGCTTTCTTCAGTGAATGTCCACTGGTCGACAACCTTCAAGTACAGGAAACTGAATTATCTCTCTTTGAGCTTCTCTGGATCAACTGGCCATTTTCAGAATGGTCAGAAAGAGAACGTATGCATCATGGGACAATAAGCATGTACACTTTTATTCATTGGTCAGTACTTATCACATAACTTTGACATGATCCTGTTCAGCATACGCAGTTATGTGTGATGCAGTAGAAACAGGTTTAAAATTAAAGTTCCTTGTAATATTTAGTGTTAATTTACTTCATGTTATTTTTTAAGGCTTTATACATTTATGTGTACTTTCCTACAGACAAATTCCGCACGAAAGAAGAATTTGAGACAGAAAATGGAGGAGAGTTTTCAGTCTTCCTTTAGCATCTACACTCAGATCAAATGGCGGAGAGCACAGATGTGTTGCAAGTATCTGTGGATTGAAGCTTTGCTGGAAAAGTCTGAAACAAGTCAGTGTGGCTACTGCTAGTTGTTTGTCTATAAACATCTTCATTGATCTTTGGTTGAGTACATTTATTTGTTATTTTAGGACAGTCAACATCACCGCACATTGGGCATTCCCACGAGTGCTCAGTGTGGGGGGAGGGGGGAGATTTTAAATTTGCCAATGGCAAAGAAAACAGAAAAGAACAACAAATCTAAATTTAACAAAAACGACCTACCAAGAAAAAAAGGAGGGGACATTTTCAAATTGCCAGATGCATATGTGGTTCTGAAATTTAGCACAGTGACTGAAAATGGGAGGAAACATTTCAGACCTGTTATTGAAAAAAAAAAAATGGCTTTTTTGAACATTTGACAAATTAACTATCTAGGCTGGAGCAACTGACTAAACAAAATGCTGGTCTGTCATGGGTCCTGGGTTAAGGAAAATGAACTGAACAAAGAATTCTTAACTCTTTGAGTATCAGCTCACTGTATGTTTATTGGTTGTTCTTTAGAAAGTATGCATTTTTAATTTCTTGCCTTTTCTTCCACGAAATGAACCTATTTTGTCCCAGCTGTCATTTAATAATACTGCGTCCCAGAATTGTATTGTTAAAACCCATTAAGACTCACAGATTACAAATGACACAAACTTTTGCATTAAATATATTGAAATGATAACAGTATGGGATTGATAGAGATGAAGTAGTATTAAATCTAAGGCTGTCATGATTTGGTCACATCGTAAGACATACAGAAACAACACAGAGGTTATGAGAGCTCATAATACTGTGAAATGAGATGGTGGATTACGTTGGGTCTTGTCTCTTAGGGTACTTATTATGTCCTCCCCTCCAACTAATGTTGCAGCCCCAACTAATGTTGTTGCAGTATTCCTAGAATTTTTCCCACACTCTCACACTCAATAACCCACAAATTCTAGTCAGCACTGATGTGAGATGTTTATAAGATGAACTAATTAGCAATGCTTATTCCTTGATTCACTTTTATAAGTGATACAACTTAACAAATTGTTTGAAAACTTAGTTATTTCACTTTTTAACCCATGGCAAATAATGAGCTTTCCTGTTATTACTATTGTGGGCTGAAGATAATAAAAGCAGAAGGCTTTTTCTTTTTATTTTGTCTTTTTTATTTTTATTCTTTTTTAAAACTTTTCTTCTTCTTCTTCTTCTTCTCTTCCACCTTGTACCTCATCGAAGTGTCGGGGTGAGATGTAATGTACGTTGATGAGCTCTGTCAAGAGCACTATTAAGACTGATGTTCATTTCTGTGAGGCTGTTCCATCACTCCATATTTTCCGAGGTCTTCCACTCGCTCTGTACCCGTTGTAACATTTTAGTGTGGCTCGCTGTGGCAGATAGTACCAGGGCATTCTTGTTAAGTGTCCAAACCACTTTATTTGTTGTTCTTTGATGACCTGTAAGATTGGCTTTATTCCTAGCATTCTTCTGATTTCATGATTTCGTATTCTGTCTTTCCTTGAAACTCCTGCAGCTTTTGTAAGGCATTTCATCTTTGTTGTCACAATTTTACGTTCATCAGATTTAGGTTTTTGTTTTGTTCTTATTCTTCAACATGTGGACATTTAAAATTATTCAGATGTAATCTGTAGTAGGGATCAGTGAACATTGACCTTTATTTTATTATTTAACAGCCATGTCTGTTGTCTACCTTTAGAGTTGCTCAATTCACAAGCCAAACAGAGGCTAATCCGCAGCGTATTTCTTCACCTATGTGACCTCCACCCAGTTCTAGTCGCCTTGAAAGAAGGTGATCATGATCCACAGGATAACACAACTGTCCACCCTACTGACATCTCTGCTGTCAGGCAACTACTGTCAACGTTTAATGCTGCCTGTTGTTCCATTCTAAAATTGTAAGTAGTTGTAATTCTAACCTCTCTGTGTTATGCTGTGTTGAGAAAGAAACTGATGTGTATTTCCATTCTTTTCAGTTGTCCTTATTTTGCAGTGTTTACAAGCTATAAGACTATTTCTTCTTTTAATGATCGCTCACTGATTTACACTGACACAAGTTAAAAAAAAAATACAAACTGTTTTTCACAGTTCCCTTTTGAGTTCAGTGTTAACTCATTGGGCCAGTATTTCCTTCTTAATGGGCTGTAAAACGAGCTGTCTTGCATGATACATTTGGCAGTTTGCACGCACAGCCCTCAGAATGTTACCAAGACTACTAATCCAGTCTGTGGATGGATAAAGAAAAAAAAAAGGGCCCTCAAAACATTAGCTAGACTACTGACCATATCTGTAAATAGGTTTGAAAAAAAAAAAAAATATTTTTCATG